CGGCTGGGGACCTGCAGGGCATTGTCCCCACTGGCTCGTCCCGGGTGGGAGTGGTGTCCAGCTTCCCGTGGGACTGACCCTCTGTCCCTCGGGACAGACCCTCCATCCCCGGGGACTCACCCCCCCCCCCCCCCCCATCACTTCATACTCCCCCAGCCCAGGCCCCTCCGTTCCTACACGGTGTAAAAGTTGTCCCGCCCGGCCCCACGCTCTGTGCATCTTCATTCCCTCCTAAAAATGCCAACTGGCTGCATGACAGCCCCCCCCCCCCCCCCCCCCAAAGCGAACGCCGGGGCCTGGTGGCTTCACTCCCCAAGGCTGGGGACGTTTGCTCGGGGTTACTGCTGCAAGCGCCTCTCCTCCCCCTCCTCCTCCTCCTCCTCCTCCTCCTCCTCCTCCAGCATCAGGTCTTGGCGGGGGGGGGGGGGCGTGGAGGGGTGTGGGGGGGATCTGGCGACCTGGAACCTGGGGAAGCGCACAAGTGCTGCTTCGGGAGCTGTTTGCTGCCCTGGCTGGTGATGAGATCCTTCACGCAGTGCATTTAGCGCGGGGGCACACACCCCCCCCACCCCCCCCCACCCCCCCCCCCGAGGGGTTTATGCTTGGGGGATGGACTGCCCCCCTCTCCTCTGCGCCCACCAAGGCGGCTCATCCTCTGGGATAGCGGCTGTCGCTCAGCAGCGTGAGGGTGCTCGGAGAATGGCCGGCAGGGAGGTGTTTTCCCACCAGCTCTGCCAGCCTCAGGACCTGATGCAATAAGTGTCCCGGTGAGTAACCCTCATTTAGGCGAGGAGCTGGATTAAAGCCAGCGGGGCCGGAGGACTTGGTGGGCAAATACACCCCTCGGAGCTGGTCACTGCCCGGAGGGTGGAACGGGAGGTAAGAGAGGTGAGTGGAGAGCAGAGCTTTGGCGGCAGAAACAATCTCCGAAGGGCTGGGTCCCTGCTGCTGCCTCCCCGAGAGCCTGAGATGCTTCGCAGGAAGGAACTGGGAGGATCCCGGATCCCCGTGGACCTCGAGCCCCGGGTTTGAAGCCTCCTTGGAGATGCGCTTGAACCTTTCTGGAGAAGCTGGAGTCAGAATCGGGCCGGTGCGAGCACAGCCCGAGGTTTCTCACTTCTGATATCAGTCCCTGTCGCCGGCATCAGCCGCCTCCCACCAGCGCAGGTAGCGGGGGCTTTCATGCCGGTGTGTGATATCACTGTGCTTTTCTGGGGTCAGAAAATGTTTTATTATGGACCAGAAATCTCATCCAATTATAGCCCGTCAGGGGGCAGAGAGCAGAGCAATGGGAGGAGGAAGGCTGGGAACAAAAGCTCGGGGCATGTGGAAGGGATTTGTTTTGAAGAACTGAGTCAGTGGAGGATGTTTTCCTGGAGTAGCCTTGGGGAAACGCTGCCTTCGCTTTGGTTACAGCTGTGTGATAGCCTGGGACATACATTTTCTGGTGATGTGCATTTTGGTTTCTCTGCTGTTGCCTCTGGGGCATGACAGCTGGGATAACGTGGAGGGGAGGCACCCGGCGAGGTGCCCCCAAAATTGCACCTCCCCGTGGTGCAGGCAGCCCCTGGCACTTGCTTTGGGTAGACGAGGAGTCCTGGAGCTCCTCTCCGAGAGCCTGGTATCCCTCGCCACCCCCAGGGACGAGGTTTGCCGGCAGCCCGGCACCGTCGGCACGTGCCCCGCTGTCCCCAGGCCCTGCTTGGTCACCGTTTGCGTCTCTTGAACGGGTTGCAGACGCCGCAATTGCTGTAGCGATGTGAGGGTGGGCAGGGTGGTACTACTGCTTGTATCTGAGATGCTGTGACGCTTCTCCCTCCCCGCTGCCTTTCTGAGCTCGAGCTGAAGAGAGATGAGATAATCCCGAGCTGCACCAGCGCGTCTTGCCCTGGGGACATCCTTGCTCCTGGGGTCTGTGCTGGTGGACAGCAAGGGTGTCCCCCCTCCCCATGCCAGTTGCTGGCAAGCAACCGCTGTTTGCAAAGCCATTGCTTGCGGGGGTCAGGGATCCCAGTGCCTGGACGGTCTGTGCTGGAGGGGGGGGGGGGGGCCACAGGCCCTGTGCACTGGGCTTTCCAGTGCGGAAAAATCCTCTTGAGGTTTGGCTGCTGGAGCTGAGCTGTGGGTGAAGATGCTCTTTGCCCCTGGGGGGGGGGGGGGGGGGCTGTATCAGCCGTGCAGCCCCCCGCAGTCCTCGTCGCCACTCGCCTTCCAGCGACCCCCCCCCCTTGCCCCAGAACAGCGGGGTTCCGCCGTGCTGGAGCGGCCACTGGCCGCCCCGTGATTTACCAGTCTGCCCAGTTGTCTACTGGAATTGCAGCGCCTTTGTTTGCCTTTGAGCAGTCTCACTGCGGTGCGTGGGGACTCCGGGAGGAATCACGTCTTCTCTTGCTCCTGTTACACCCGGTGGAAAGAGTTTGCCACTGACTTCAGTGGAAACCTCTGCCTGGGGAAAGCTGGCCGGAGTCGCTCGCGCCACCGTAAATCAGGGCTTGTTCTCCGGGAGCTGTCGGTGTGCCGAGAACGTAATACCCGGTTAATTGATGAAAAATCAACGCTTGTAGCCTCCTGTCCTGATTCAGGGTTGCCAGCTCTCATAAGGAACTCTTTATGCGAGAGCCTTGGCTTGCGTTCAGAGGCAGGGTGGGGGGAAAGGAGAAGAAAAGGTAAATTTTCTGGTGCGGTGGAGTAGCCAGGCGTTTGAAATGGTACTCCTGGCAGGATGCAAAACCGCAAAACAGCATGAAAAAGAAAAAAAGATTTGAACGCTTTTCCCCCTCTGAAATCTTACAGTTTGTCTTTTAAACCTCTGTAAAATATTTGTTGAGGGACCTGAGTCATCACTTTTCGCTGCTTTGGCTCAGTTTCCTGGCTGCTGGCTTTGTGAGGTTAACTTGTTTGGATCACAGGAGCAGGGGAAAAAAATAATTCCTGGGAACTCAGGTGGGTTTGGAGATCGTAACAATATTGTTAAAATATCGTAAAAACAAACAAGTGTAGCATTCAGCAAGAAGACTTTCACTTTTTATTTGTCTGCTGCTTTTGCTGAGGCTTTGGGTTTGGGACCTGTCAGATTTTTCTGCCTGTAGCCGGCAGGAAAAAGCTTGTGTCTAAAATAGTCACCTTTCCCCCAGCCCTGGATTTTCCGTCATCACGTGATTCCAGAAGCTGAGGATTTAGGAAGAAACATCAGCCATCGTGAGGCTGATTTTAAAAATGAGACGAGCTGGAAATGCAAGTTCTGCTGTTCAACAGCAAGTCCAGTGCCGTGCGGCCATTTAAACTGAGTTTTATATTCCCTCGAGCGGTGTCTAAAGCTGTTGGGAAAGGGTCAAGAATTTATCAGACATAATTCTCATTATAAACCGCCGCATTTTTTGTATCGCTGACATACGAATCTGGCTCAGGGTGAAGCTTCGCACATCAAGTGGCAGCATCTCTCTTCTGCAAAGCAGGCTGATCAAATAAAATTGGTTAGGAAAGCTTGGGTTGTAGCGACAAGCCCGTGGGGTGAGGGTGGGCTCCAGCCTTCGGGGACATGGGTGGTGCTCTTTGTGTGCCCGTGCAAATGAGCATTGCACATAACTACCCATCAATGGATGTTTATTTGTGTTAGCAGGGGAAGGGCTCTGAAGCTCTGGCTGCTATGGCGATGAAATGGTGCATGGGATGGAGGGACCTGCACGCCTGTCCGCTGCTGGGGCCACTGGCGGGGCCCCTCTGGCTGGCATGCCTATAATTTTGGCATGCGGTTATGTTAGAAAGCAGCTAAAGATATTTCTCATCACTTAAGTGATGATTTTTTTTCTTCCCCTCTCACATGTGATATATGGTGTTGGCTGGAAATAGGAATTCAATTAAAATTCAGAAAGCCAGCATTTTTGTTTTCAGTAACTTAGAAAAGCCTTTAATAAGTTAAACACCCAGTATACATTAAGTATACTTAAAATGCAGGAGGTTCTCTCTGCACCTGCAAGGGAGCCTTTACAGCCCAGCCGCCTTCCCCACGGGGCTGCCCCACTCCTTTATGTTTCACAGGGTCCAGCTTTAATTAAGTCAACTTTTTTCCCTTCGAATCCGGTTGTTGAAACAGCTATATCTCCCCTCACCACCCCCAGCTCTTGTATGGCTGCTGTAGTATTGGGGTGGGAAAGTTTTAATGCGGTGGCTGGGTGTTAAAACCCACCCAAGGTCCTCCCTCCTCGCATCTCCAGGTTTGCTTGTTAGTCCCACCCGGGGCACGTGTCCGACGCGAGCGTCGCTGCCACGGGGAGGGAGGAGATGCGTGTTTGGCATTTGCCTGTCCTGGATGGGGCTTCCCCCCGCCCCCCGCCCCGGTGCCACCCGTGGCCTCCCGCTCGCCTGTGGCCCGTGGGCAACCTCATTTTCTGCTCCGGCAGGGCGAGGGGAAGCGGCTGCTCCTGGGGGTCGGCAGCCCCGTGTGAGCGTGGCGGGCGCAGGGCTGGTGCATAAACCCTTTCCTTGGGTCTGCCTCGCCGGGCGCTCGTGTCGAGGGTTTGATGCGGTCGCCAGGATTCACAGTGACATCATGATGTTTTCTGCTCTAAATCACAAATTTCCCTAAATCGAGCCCTAGAGGAAGCCTGTAGTCAAGCGAAAATGTGCAATCTTCCCAGCGAATCTAAGCCAAATACTCACTTCCCAGTGGAGACCGGGATGGGGTTGGTCTGGGTGGCTCGGCCCGTTGCTGCGCGTCCGTAACGGAGGACGCTGCTACGCTCTGGGCTTGCCCTGCCCCTCGCTTGCCCTTTCTCCATTTCTGAGCAGCGAGCCCAGCGCTGCTGCTGCTCCGGAAACCACACGCGGAATCGCGAGCAGCAGGGCATGGAAAGTGTGCAGGGCATGCAGCGAGCACGGGGCATGCAGCAAAGCTGGGCTCTGCCCGTGGTGTGGTGGTCTGGTAGCAGCCATCAGAGCCCATCTATTTTCTTGCAGGCTTAGAGGAAATACTATTTTTTTTTTTTTTTTTTTTTTTTTTTTTGTTTCTTTTCTCTCCCTGCTCTCTGATTTTCTGAGTGCTCTCCCGAAACGCCGCGCGGTCTCTGCGGCGCCTCCAGACCCCACCAGCAATGGTGCCGTGTCCCTCTGCACGTCACAGCTGGGTGTGGAGGAGTGAGTTTTGCTTTCGTTTGCCAGGCTGGAGCCCTTGGCTTTCCGCCGGGTGAAAATTGCGGAAACACCTTTGCCGCTGGGAGCCCGTGGGCCCTGCCCTCTCCGGAGCGCTCAGCTCTCCAGGGCTTGTGATTTCTCGCTGGTAAGTGGTTTTAGATACTTGGTGGACGAGGTAATGATGTTTTCAGACTTCATCCGGAGAGGGTTTGAGAACGGATCCCGCTGCCCCCGGAGCCCGGGCAGGCTCTGCCCCGAGGTGGGTGCCGGGCAGCTGGCGAGCCGGGCCGCCTGCACGGCGGAAAAACACGTGAAAGGCGTTTGGTTTTGCTCTCACACCCCTGGCTTTACTGAGATCTCCAGTTCCTGCGGGTGCGAGCCCCTCTGCGAGGGTGTGGGGCCCGTCCTCCGGTCCTGGAGCCATGGCCGGGCAGCGGCTCTGTCCCTACGGTTGTGGGGGGACCAGCCTCCACCCCGGAGGGACGCTGGTGCGGGTACGGGACCACTTGCCTTTCCCGATGTCCTCGTCCCCAGGGACGGCAGCTCCTCTTAGCTACAGGGTGGCTGCTGGGGGCAGACCCCTCCCGTTTCTGCTTGGATGGGGGAAGCAACCAGGGTGGCAGGTTTGGGTGGCACCACGGAGGGATGCGGGAGGACCCTTGGGGATGTCACTGGGGCCGTGTGGTGGTACAGGGAGCAGGGCTGGGGTAGGAGAGGGGGGATGCAGGTCAGGGCGGGACTGTGTGGAGGAGTTTTGCTCCCACCCTGCGGGTCCTTCATCACGAGCCAGTTTCTCGGGGGGGTGCCGCTCCCTCCCAGAGTCCAGCCGCCTCCGTCCCACACGTGGGGATGGCAGAGAGGCAGCCCGAGGTGGTGGGTCTGTGCTCGACGTCTGCGGCTGCTGCCTCAGCTCTGAGCTGGGCAGGGGGAGCGCTTTGGAGCGGCTTCTCAGGTGTGATGTTTTCAAAACGAGTGGAGCAGCGGATGGTGCTGAGGAGCCCTGGGCTTCACAGGCAGCACAGGGAGGCCCCCGCGCCCGCAGGTCCGAGCGGGGGGGATCGTTACTTCACCCACCCGGCTCCTTCAGAGCATCTTCCCTAGCTCTGGCTGCTGACAGCCCTCTTTGCACCCCTAAACCCCGGCGGGTGGTGGTCAGCCTTGGGTGGGACCCTCGGCCGGGGAAGAGGGGCGACGGCACAGAGCAGCGAGAGGCTTTGCCCAGGGGGGAAGGTGTGTAGAAAGCAGAGAAGAGGGTGGCCCCATCCCCTGTGGCTGTGGCGGGATGGCTGCGGGCCGCAGCCGAGGTTGGGGCTGCGGTGCCTGCAGAGCTCCCGGGGCCTGCGAGCTCTTCGCAAGTGCTGAGTTGTTGGTGACGCACGAGCAGCAGAGGAGCTCTGCCAGCGTGATGGACTGTAAATACTGATGTCTCCTAATCCCCCTTCCCTTGAGGGTCTTATGTGCCGGACCTGTTCATGTGATTACACCGGTATTACGGTGTGATGTGTTATGCTGTTACGGTACCTGACACCATCCTGACTCCCCAGGGCACCAGAGAAGCTGATGCTCTGTCCTCTTTGTATGGATGGAGAGGTGTCCCTCTGGGAAGTGGCAGTGGGGCAGGGGATGTTCCCATCCTGTGGCCTGGCACGTGCCCGCACCCCCTCGGTGTGTCCCGCCCGGCGGCTGCCAGGCTGTCACAGCCGAGCACCCAGCCAGGGCTGGGCTTCCAGAGGGTGTCCCCAGGCCCTCTGGCAGCAGCACCCATCGCCGGGACAGGCTGCGTCACAGCCCCTCTCCTCGTGGCACGTAGCAAACCAGCTGGCTGCCCGGAGGCGGGGGGCTGCAACGGCCCCTCTGCCCTGAGCAGGGAGCAAAGGCGGCTTCACCCAGGGGGTCCCCGGGCCAGGGACTGCTGGGAGGTCCCTGGGAGGTTTTATGGCTGCTGTGGGTTCCCTTCCACCCGTCCCTCATCCTGGGCAGGGAAGCAGCGATCTTTCCCCCCTGCATCCAGCCGGAGAAGCTGGATGAGGCTCCCAAATCCCCAGGTTGGAGGTGCGTGTCCCACGGCCGCAGAGGGAGCGACAAGCATCAACGTGGGCAGGTACTTCTGCAGGGGAAGTGCTTCTTTCTTCAAAGTTATGACCCCAGATCTATCGATGCTTGGATGTGGCTTAGTGGGCCCTGTCCCTGTTATCCCTCCGGTTGCTCTCTGGAGACGGAGCTGCTGCTGGGTGAAACTCTCCCTGCACGGTCAGGGTGGGATCCTGGTGTCCCCACCTGCCCTGTGCTGGGGCCTGGGGTGCTGGGATCCATTTAACCCAACTCCAGCCACCTAATTGCTGCTGGGCTGATTGCCATGGGTTCCCAGGGAGCGGGGGGAGAGGATGCTTCACCCCGTTTGAAACCCCACGTAGGGTACAGGTACCCCCTGAAGACACCAGTGTCTTGCCAGGAACTGCTGAGGGAGCTGGGGCTTTTTCTGCCTCATTTTTCAGCTGGGATCTACATTGCCCATCCCACTCCTTACGCAGTTCTGCTGCACATCCTGGCGCTCTCCCTTCTCTTCTCCTTCACCACCCTGGCCCCATCCATCCTGGGTGCTACAGGCAGTGCCTGGCCCACTCATCTCCATCCCTCCCAGGGATGAGCAATGATTTGAGGTGGGAACTTCGTGGGAATGTAGCTTTGGGCTCAGTCCTTGGAAACTGGTGTGGGGTCTCAGTGAAAGCCTCGGCTTAAAAAAACATTTCACGTGCCAATAGAAGCGTGACGGTTTTACAGTCCCCAGAGCTTCGTGGTTTGTGTTTCCGAGGGGCATTTCGCAGCTACGTTGTCTGTCTGGCCCCAAATCCTGGATCCCTCCGTTGGTGTTGTGATGGGGGTGCTGTGACTTGTATCTCCCCCACCCCTGGGCGGGGTGGGCTTGTCCTCCCCGCTGACAGCCGGGGTGGCCGCGCTGGCTGGAGCCACAGTGGCTCGGTGGCCGGTCGGTGGCCCCGTGCCCAGCCCTGCTGGCACCCACCTGGCCCGTCCTCGGGCTCTGCCGCGTCCCCGGTGCCTGGACTAGCCCAGATGGGTGTATTTGCACCGAGGAACAAAGGAAACGCTGGGGCTGTTTCTTGGCTGACGGTGGCCGCACTGTGCTGTCGGGGACAGAGGGGTCTTTCCCTGTCCCCCAGCCCTGACACACCCCATGAGACCAACTGTGTTTTGGGGAGATCTTCCCAGGGTGGGACCTGCTCTTTGATGGACATCTAAGCACCAAAGTCACGGGACGGATATGGGCTGCCCTTTGCCGAGCGATACCCTCTGGGGCAGGTCCGCAGGAGGATGGGGCTGCCAGGGCAGGTGAGGGCACAGGATCAGTCCCGCTTTCTTGGCCAGCTCTAGTCTTGCTAAGAAGCACAATTCGACCCCCAACGGGGACCCCAAGGAGTCGGTGGTGCTGCCAGCTGGGCTGGTGGGGAGTGCTGAGCCGGGGGTCTGGGTAGAAGCTGCCCTACACTTCTCACTTTCACCACGTGCCTTTAGAAAGGGGTTTGGGGTCACTGGGTTACTCCCCGCTAGACTGCCCCAGCTCTTTGCATACCCTGTACCTGCCGAAGCCAACCGTTCAAATTCAAGTTGGGTTAGAGCTATCCGACCACAAAAAAAGGTGTTTGAACCCTTTCCCAGACCATTTAAAGCTGCTTTTCACTCTCTCCCCCGTGATCAATTAATTTAGCTATCGCCAAATGGCTTTGTACCGTATTAAAGCAAAGCAGAGATCACAGTGAGATGGCAGATGATGGGACATTTCATCCCACCAAAGACCTCTTTCCCCTGAAGGTGCCTGAACGCAGGGTGTGTCGCCAGGATGGACCTGTGTTTGGTGCCTCGGTCTGGGACTCCAGCTCACCCTCCCTTTCTGCCTCAGTTTCTCCCCTGGGCTTTTAATCCCTGTTCCCTGCATGAGCTGCAGGACTTGGGAAGATTCCCTTGCCCGTCCTCGTTGGGAGGTCGTGGGCTCCGGCGCAGCTGGGTCTTTGTGTAGGCTGGGAAGTGGGGGCACAACTTTGCGTGGGGGGGCCAGCTCTGGTGCTGCAGGGTTTGCCTTGGGGTTTTCCCGTGATGTGTTTCTCCCAGGTCACCCCAATCGACTTTGCGTGGCTCTGCTGATCACCACCCGCCGGAGAAGCTTGCCCGGGTGCTGCTCACGTACCGGTCGGTGCAGCCGTTTGGGGTTTTGGCAGGGAGGATGCCGCCTACACCAGCACCAAACCGTGCCAAGATTTGGGGGGATTTTCTGGGGACAGCAAAAGTCTGAGAGAAGCTGGGCTTCGTGGGCGACTATTGCCTGGGCATGAAAGCAGCCGCTGTCACACCGAGGTGGCCACTGGCTGTTGTCACACCTCGCTTGGGACGGGATTTTGCAGCACTGGTGAGCGAAAACTATCTGTCAGCATGAGCAGCATTACCCGCTGAAGCATCATTAGGCACGATTTCCATCAGGAGGGGTTCACTGAGGAAGTGACTTAATTGCGTTGTCCTGAAACCATTTTTTCCTGCTGTATCAGGCCCCCAAAATATCTCAGTACAATCCCCTTGGCTCCTGTTGTCGGGCAGGGCTGGGGGACTCGCTCACAGTGCACCAGCCTGGAAACCAGAGCCCAGCCTGGACATCCCCCTCCGCCAGGTCTACCCTGAAATATTTGGGAATTTGGGAGAATTTGGGCTCAGTCCCAGCCCTGCTGCCTGTGCTGGGATGCTGGGAGGCAGTTTTCAGCCTTTCCTTGCCTTGCAGGACAGATGAAGGTCCTCTGATGGCAGCGGGTACCTAAGGTACATCCTTGCAGGGAGTTTTCATGTGCAAGCATCCTCGTTCCACCTCCCCCAGCCTGCTCGCCCGTGGCAGAGGCATTTGCTGGGGAGGGGACCGGCAGCACGGTGCTGTGTACATGACTAATTGCACGTGCATTCAGAAAGTAACGAGGCTGTTATTAAGTCCAGGTGCAGGCTGGTGAATCCACCGTGTTGCCTAGGCGAGACTGAAAGGCAAACATTTTTGCTTTGCAAAATGATTCGGGAGATGACTCTATTTGTTGACAGGAGGGAGCAAAAGCGGCCGGTGTGGGTTTTGACAGCGTGGGGAGCTGCGTCGGGCATCTGTCACAGAGCATCCCGGCTTTTCCTGGCATCTCCAGCTCCCTGTGTGCTGCCTTTCAGCTTTTCTGCTGCTCTGGACAACCGGTTTGTGTGTCTTCCTGCTCCTTTCCTTTGCTCCAATTTTCTGACAATCAGTTTTCACCTTCTCTTCATCTTCCTTTGGGTACTGCTGCATCTCTGTTGCCTGTAAACTCAGATATGTGCTTTATAGGAACCCAAATTTACCTATTTGATACTCATCTCTCCCATTTTCCCCTTCCAGAAAGGAAATTTGCTTCTACAAGTGCAGTAGTCCGTAGTAGGGCAGCTTGAGTGGGTAAACTGAGTCACGGGTGACTTTTGTGGGTTATTACAGAAATCGTGGATCACCCCAAAGAAGAGGAGGGACACCCTGGGAGGGACCCAGAGGGACTTTGCACCAGTCACTGGTGGATATTGGTATGGGGCTGTTTCAAATGTGCCTGGTATTCCCTGTGAAAATAAATCTGATTTTTTTAGGGAGAGGCAATCACTGAAGTTTGACAACACTGTTAATATTTTAAAAAGCCTCCAGAATGTTTCACTTAAAGCACATTGGCATGGCTTATTTTTTGCCCTATCTTTTTTTTTTTTTTTTTTATTCCCTGTTAATGCTTAAAATGGGGCCTTAGCAAGTCCCAAGCGACTGCTTCTCTTGGGGCTGCTCTTCTGTGGAGGAAAGGGGAACCTCCCAGAGCAGAAGTTAGTTTGCAAAACAGATAATGCCTTTCCCTCCTCCTCTTTCAGATAAGAGAGGGTAAAAGATCACAGGGCTTCCAGCCAGCTCTTCTGCACTGTGCTTTGGGGATCTGCTGTCAAAACTGGGGGGGGGGGCATGGAGTGATGATGATGAGGAGAACATCTCTGTGCATTGCTCTGGGGCTCCCACATGTTCATCTCAGATATTCTGGGTGGCCCCGGGGCTTGTGTGTGCCCCCAGCCAGCGAAACCCCTCGCTGCAGGATGTCGTGGACACGGAGCAGCTTGGAGGTGACCAAGTCAGTGGAGGAAAAGGCATTTGGAGGTTATGAAGTGCAGAGATGTGTCCGGCTCGGGGGATCCCGGGAGCTGGAGCCCAGAAAGGATTTGGGGACCATGTCCCCCCGACCCTGGTTCTGCCCTTGTGACGCCTCTTCGGGCATCTGCTGTGGGAGATGGGAGCGTGGGGCAGTCGGACCTTTGTGCTTGTTCCTGAGACCTCTCGGTGGTAGCCTGGCCACGTTTGGGCAGGAGACCACGTGTCTGCGTGATCGGCACGAAGCCGGCAGCTGGGATTGTGCCGCGGGGGGGATGTTTGGCTGCAGATGCCGAGCGAGAGTCGCAGGACGTCGTTCAGGGTGGCGAATGCGGGGAGAGGAGAACAAAAAAAAAAAAAAAAAACTAAGAGAGACTGGAATACAGATGATGGTGAGCTGGGTCTTTCAGTGCCAGCTCAAATCCCTCCCTGAATTTAAAGCATTCGCTGGGGGGGTTAAAATGCTGCTGGCTCGCTGGAGCCTGGGGGTGCCTCAGGTGTGAAGCCTCTGAGCCAGAGGGACCCGAGGCTGCAGGGGCCAAATCCCTGCCTGGCCCCGGGGAAGCGGGAGCGGAGGTGGCCGCAGGTCTCCGGCGGGGAGGGGGGCAGCTCCTGGGGCCGTTTCGTGGGGCAGGACGGGGGGGGTGTGCGTGTGGATGAGCAGCAGTGGCACCTGCAGACGTGGCCGTGCCCTGGTGGCATCACCACCTTCTGCTCCTGACACCTCTCTGAACGTTACTCGTTCCATGGGGTTGTTTGGAAGCCAGCCTGGCTGGGAAAAAATGACTTTTTCATTTAAACAAATTATTTTTTGGCTGAATCAGGATGGTTACGCACCTTAGGGTTTTAGACCAAACCTGGAGCTGGGCGGGGGGAGTAGCTCGAGCCATGATTCAGGAGAGCTGCCCATCTCTTTGGCTTCTCCATCACTGGTGGCCGGCTGGACCAGCAGCTCCTCAGTGGAAAAATCTTCTTCACTGGGATGAAGGGGAAGGCGGTGGCAGCATCTTCCCGCTGCCTTTTGCCTTCTTAGAGAGGGGGAAACTGCAGGATTTTGTGCTTGGCACCCATGAAATGGCATCAAGCTTTTCAGGTTGGCACCTGGTCCCTGGTCCCAGTGTCCTGGTCGCTGATTTCAGGTGCCTGGATGAGGAGTGTGTCCATGCAGGGGACACAGGTCCCACCAGCTCCCTGCCCTCAGCTGGTCCTGGCCAGTGCTGGCCACCTCTCCTCTTCCCCATGCCCATTTTGACCATGTCCCACCTCTCCTCTTCCCCATGCCCATCTGGGCCATGTCCCGGGGAGCACGGCAGGCTGATAGCAGGGGCTGGAGCACAGGCAATGCACAGCACACTGGGAGGATGTTTTGGTGCCTGCCAGCCCTGGGAAAAAGCTTCTTCCACTGAGTCATTTGCTGCCTCTGCTTTTTGTGAGACGGCGCCAAGATTTGGGGGAAGGAGAGATGGAAAAACCCAGCCCAGATCTCTCTGCTCCAGCAGGACCAGGTCCACACCAGCACAGCTGCCCCGTGTTTGCTTTTCAGAGGGAGCAGCAGACAGAGAACAGTATAAATAGAACAGGCCCAGCTATTTTAAGACATCAATTACATGATTTGCGCATTAAAAAAAAAAAAAAAAAAAAAAAAAAATCTTTGTTTTAGCTGCAACTGGCAACATGGGCTTGAGAGGAGCAGAGGCAGCTCTGGTGAGGACGGGCATCTTGGAGCCGTTGCCCCAGTGGCCACGGGAGCTTCACGGCGGATGAGCAGGGAGGACTTCTGCTTCTGCACGGGTTTCTCCTCGAAGTCCCGGTAGATGGGTGGTTGCCCACACTCGCCACCGTTCTGGTGTCACACTGCTACCACTCTGGTGGTGCGCGGCTGTGGGTGGGGAGTGACGGCGTGAGATGTGCTTGGTCTAGCCAAGGGGAAGTTGCACTCGAGGAAGGGACGTGGGTGCTGTTTTGGTGATGTATACGTGTGTGCGAAGCCAAGGATGGAGATTTTCTTCTTCTGGAGATGTTTCTGGGTTCCTATGGAGCTGAAATCATTGCACCATTCCTGCCCTGAGCAGCAGGCTGTGATGAAGAACTTCCATTTACTGTTGGGGGTTAAATCAAGCTTGTTTCTGGTGACTTAGTGCCAAGCAGAGATGTTGGCAGGTATGAGAGGAGGGATCAGAGCCTTGGAAGCAGGATCTGTTTTCTGCTCAGTATTCATTGGAGCTGGGGCCGAGTGCTCAGAGTGGCCGGCGAGCTGGAGGCTCCCTCTCCCCCAGCCATGCTGGGGTCACCCCATCCCTGTCCCCCATCCCTATCCCAGCTTGGAGGCTGAGCTGCAAGGGAAGAGGGCAGCTGCCCAGCTCCCAGCAGTGCAAGTGCTTGTAAATACTTGTGCCTTTCAGATAAAGTGCTTTTCAGATAAAGTGGATGAGCCAGGAGCCACTCTTGAAAAAGAGGGAGAAAGGTATTGAAGCAGCTGCTGAAATGAGTGCTCTCTCCACTAGCAACCCCAGCTGCAAAAGTTTATTAGTATCAATTAATCTGAAAATGCTTTTTCTTCTCTTTTTTTCCCCCTTTTCTCTTCTTTGTTGAAGACCTTTGGTGGTTTTTGTCATGTAAACTGCACATCAGAAGGCAAAACTGTCAGGTGGGATGGGGTTTTGCATTACTAATGGTATAAAACACATTTATCTCTGCAAAATGGCTTTGGAGGTGGACTTTTGGTAAGCTCTTCTTATGACAAAGGGGTTTTGTTCAGGGCCCTGTAAATCAATTCCACACACCAGGTCGTGCAGTGCTTGTCCCATTTGCCCTGCTTTTCTGTGAACCGACTATTGCTGCTTTTCAATTGCTTCCAGAGCCTCTGCTTTCTGCTGGCCTGGTGAATTGGGTGGAGACAGGGCTGAACCAGGGCTGGAGCTGCCCTCCACCCCACTCATCCTCCTGGTCTCACCCCTTTCCCTGTGATGATTTGGGGAGCGGAGCTCAAGTTTGGCCCTCGTAGCTTAGGTCCATGGTCCCTGGCTCGGGACCATCCAGACAACAACCAGTTTTCATGCTGAAAGATGCTGTGGAAGTGTAGTTCCTCTCCACAAACCCCCCAGCATGCTGGAGGAAGAGGTTGGGGAACCCCAGCTCCCTCAAGGCGGGTAAGCAGAAGATGTTGCCTTTCCTTGAAAACCTGTTGTTTGTGGAGCAAAACCAAGGCAGGTTGTAGGTGCTCTGCTGGGCTCCCACTCAGGATGCCTGCCTGGTGTGGTGGCCACGTGGGGATGGTGACTGGCCAGGGCAGATGCTTTGGAGCCAGGAAAGCCTCATAACTTATTGAGTGCAATAACTAACAGAGCGCGAAGCTCTGGATGTGGCCCCTCTGTCTGTGCCCGACCCACTGGTGCCAACAGGGCGTTTTCTGCCTTTCTGCTGGCACTGAGGCTTCTCTCCTTCTCGTGTCCCACAGACTGCCTGGAGCTGCTGCCGCTGGAGTCCATGGCGTACACCGTGACTCCCACGCCGGCGGGGCCTGTGGGCTCCCAGTACTGCGTCTGCAAGGTCGAGTTGTCCGTCAGTGGCCAAAACCTTCTGGACAGGGATGTCACTTCCAAATCCGACCCCTTCTGCGTCCTCTTCATGGAAGTCAACGGGAAGTGGGTGGAGGTAAGTCCTGAAGTTGTGTGGATTTCCCGCTCCTGTGTTTTGCCTGTGCTGGTGTCTCCTCCCGCCGTGCTCCGCTACAAGGCTGGTCCTTGTTCCTCCCCGAGTAGCAGCAGAAGCTCTTCTGGTCCTCCTGAGTCTGTGCATGTGGTGCCAGTGTGTTAATTACTCTGTGTTTTGCAACTGGTCCTTCCCCTTCCTTCCCCTGTGCTTTTCAGCTTTGTGCTGGGGGTGAGATTTAACTGCAGATTTCAAGATGCCAACATCTGGCAAGGCATGTGGCAAGTGTGAAAGGATCTTACCACCTTCACAGTGGTCCCAGCCCCTTACCAGTCTGCTGTAAGCTGCGGGTGCTTTGGATTCGGGTGCCTGAAATGCTGATCCCACGTGACAGTTAGAGGTTGTGAGGTCCCGCTTGCCACGGGACATGTTTCTAGGTGAGTCAAGATAAGCTTGTTCTTGGATCCTGAGTTGCGTAGGAGGCTGGTCTTTGGGTTTTGCTTGAAGAGTGCCAGGAGTGTGCTGGGTGAGGGTCTGGCAGGTCAGTTCAGTGGAAAAAATGCTATCCAGGGCAGCTTGTGCTCTGAACGCTTGTGTGGCCTCCTTCAAAAAGTATATCAAGGTCAACAGCCCTTAAGCTGGGAATTCCACAGACTGATTGTGGAGAGGGCAGGACCATCGGATGGGGAAGGAGACTGCTGGGAGCTGGGTGCATGGGGGGTTGGATCAGTTCAGCTGCAGCCAGCCAGCAACTGTCTGACAAATCCCCAACGGACTCTTTGCAGACATTGGTCTTTCCTCCTTACCAGAACACTCATAAATATGTGCTTCAACTGCCCTATTTGATACCAAGAGGCCCCGAGAAGAAACTGCAGATGATCTTGTCATTTGCTTGGTAAGCTGGCTCCTTACAAATGAGAAACGTAATTCCTACAGGGAGAGAGGAGGGGAGGGATCATGACGTACACAGATTGAGTGCACCTTCAGCAAGTTTGCTGATGACATCAAGCTGAGTGGTGTAGTTGACATGCTGGAGGAAGGGGATGCCATCCAGTGGGACCTTGGGAGGCAGGAGGAATGGGCACATGATGCAAATCTCATGAAGTTCAAGAAGGCCAAGTGAAGGTCTTGCACATGGGTCAGGTCAATCCCCAGTACTTATACAGACTGGGGGGTGGATGGATGGATGGATGGATGGATGGATGGATGGATGGATGGATGGATGGATGGATGGATGGATGGATGGGTGGATGGATGGATGGATGGATGGGTGGGTGGGTGGGTGGATGGATGGATGGATGGATGGATGGATGGATGGATGGATGGATGGATGGATGGATGGACGGACGGACGGACGGACGGATGGATGGATGGATGGATGGATGGATGGATGGATGGATGGATGGATGGATGGATGGATGGATGGATGGATGGGTGGATGTATGGATAGATGAAGTCATGTGGAGAATGACCTGGCATACTGGTGCGTGATAAAATGGGCATGAGCCATCAATATGCTCTTGCAGCCCAGAAAGCCAAGTGTATCTTGGGCTGCATCCAGAGCAGGGGGAGCAGCAGAGTGAGGGAGGGGATTCTCCCCCTCTGCTCCGCTCTGGGGAGACCCCCCTGCAGTGCTGGGGCCAGCTCGGGGGCCCCCAACACCAGAAGGACATGGAGCTGCTCCAGCAGGGCCAGAGGAGGCCACAAAGATGCTGGGGGGGCTGGAGCAGCTCCCCTGGGAGGCCAAGCTGAGAGAGTTGGGGGGGTTCAGCCTGGAGAAGAGAAGGCTCCGGGGAGACCTCATTGTGTCCTTCCTATATTTAAGGGGTTTTAGAAGAAAGATGGGGAGAGACCTTTTACCAAGGCCTGCAGTGACAGAACAAGGGGCAACAGTTCTGAACTGACAGAGGGGAGATTTAGGTGAGATGTAAGGCAGAAATCCTTCCCTGTGCGGGGGGTGAGGCGCTGGCCCAGGGTGCCCAGAGAAGCTGTGGCTGCCCCCTCCCTGGAAGGGTTCAAGGTCACTTTGGACAGGGCTGGGAGCCCCCTGGGCTGGTGACAGATGTCCCTGCCCGGGGCAGGGGGGGTAGGACTAGATGATCTTCAAAGGTCCCTTCCAACCCAAACCGGACTGTGGTCCTGTGACCGTCCCTTCTGGCTTTGGGTGTCCCTGCTTCACCAGGACATCCCGCTCTGCAGATGCACGTGGCTGCTCACAGCCCGTGGGCTGTGGGCACTGAGACTGTGCGCAGAGGAGCACCCTGGCATGCTCCCATGGATGGGGGGGGTGTATTTTTATTTTCCTTGTATGCACTAAGGTGCTGAGAAGTGCCTTCATTTCCTCTGCCTCCCTACCCACTCCAACATGAGCTTACTCCAGGGCAGGACCCTGCTGATAAAAAGTTCTTTATGGAAAGGAGGACTTTTCATGGCCACACCATCCCTGGTGGTGGGTGAACATGGGATAAATCAGTCTTCTCTGAGATGCAGGCAGCGCACAAGGAGCCCTTGTGTGTTGTTCCCAGCCCTCCACTTCAGCGGGACGAGGCTGCCCCTAACCAGGCTAATGGAGCACAAGGAAACGGGCCCTCAGAAGCTGTCTGAATTATTTCGTAGCATAAGTAAAACTTTGGCTTGATCCCAGAAGCTTGCTTCCCAGCATACCCACCGACTGGATCTGTATTCCTTTGACAATCCCCCTCCTGTGGGGAAGGGGCACAGGGGCATGCTGCGTTGGGGACTGGGTGTGTGCATGCTGCCGGCGTCAGGGTTCGTCCAGAGGCACCCAAATTGGCTTTGAGCAGCATGACCTTGGTCATCACCAGCAGTGCTGCTGCATGGCAAGCGGCCTCCCTTGGTTGGGTCTCCCAGGCAGATGCATGTCTCAGGCTGGTTTTGCATCTGGGGTGTGCACAGAGTGGACTGGGAACTCCTAAGGATGGTTTTCATGGTGCTTTGTTGACTGTTCATCATCTCACATGGAGGAGTCGTTGTTTCCTCCTGTAGCGATCCCAGTTGGGCAAGGTGATCTCTGTGGTCAAACTGGTGGTGTGAATCCAAACTCCAGAGTCTGTGCAAGAACATTTAGCTCCATCTCTAAGAAAAACCTTTTGGCTACAGGGGGAAAGACTCTGGGATACAATGCCTGGAGAAAAAAGTGGGGATTTCAGTTGTAGATAGTGTGAGACCTCTTTGCAGTTGGTCTGAGAGGGAGCAGGTAAGCAGAGCATGAGGGTGTGATGGATGGTTACAGGCACCAAAGGGCATTAAATCATGTAAGCCAAAGAAAAAATGACCCAATTCCAGGAAATTAACTAGTCTCATTGTTCAGGTACTTGGACCAGTTGGGCGGCCTCCGAGCGCTTGGCCAAGGAGCTGGTGAATCAATGGGCACCACGCAAGGTGTCCTGCAGCCGGTCTCTGAGCTGTCAGTGGGGAGGGTGCAGGGGCGAACCTCACCTTGCCATGGTCTGCAATTAACTTTGCTCGGCAGCCTGGATGAGAGTAATGAGCTTTCCAGCCTTGATAGGTGTCATCTCTTTCACCTGACTGTACTTTTCAGGAATTTCTCTTTCCGTCAGTAATGACTCAGTCCAGCAGTTTGGATTCCAAAGCTTCTTTTACAATACAAATCTGTGATGGGTTGGTTTTTTTTTTTTGTTGTTGTTGTTGGTTTTTTTTTTTTCTTTTCCTCCGCTATTTTTAGCTTCTTTTTAACTGTCATGATAGGCACTGGATGTCAGCCTTGAGCGACAGATTGCTGGGCGCTCCGCCGCTGTGGTTTCAGCAGAGGTTAGCGTGTTGCAGGAGCTGGCACGTGGTGCGGAGTGTTTGCACGCCACGGAGCTGGCCCCACTCAGCCGGGGCCGAGGTGCTCCCACACCCACACGTGGCAGCAGTGGTGCACGGGCTTGGGCAGTGGTGGGGTGCCGGGGGGGGGGGACAGGAGAGGTGAGAGCCTCGCTGGGTGGGGTGGTGAACCCTTGGCAGCTCACGCCACTGTGGTTCAGAGCTGCTTAGGGGGTGCCTGTGTTGCCCTTCGTGGATTTTGCCCCTCGCCCTAAGATAAACCTCTTTCCCGTCTGAAAGAGGTGGCCTTAATAATACAGCTGAAATATGGGGGATGGACGGGGACAGCCGCAGCTCAGTGGTGTGAACCCATCCCACCACCCTGCCCCTGTGTCCCCCGCACCAGCCACGCGTCCCCCCCGGTCGGATGGGGTTTGGGAGGTGGGTCTCCTCCGGGACCAGCCCCCGCCACGGTGGTGCCTGCGTCTGAGCTGGGTGGCGGGGCTGTGGCACTGCCTCGTGCCAACAGAGACATTTCTGCTCGCTGTTCTTTCTAGCTGTCACATTTGTTCCCAAATACAATTATTTTGTCTCGCTGAGCTTAATAGGAATTAAAAAAATCTTTGTGAATCAGCCTCGGAGGGGGTGGGGGAGGGAGGGACAATAAACCCCAGGCCGAGAAGTGACACGAAGATGGGTGGTGTTTAAATGTTCTGCCCGATGACATCATCTCGTAGGAGCCGTGAAAGACCTGGCCGGTGATGCTGGGAGCAGGGACTCATGACTCAGCCCTGCTGCTGCCTTTGTGCCACCCTGAGTCATCCGTCCGGCCCCGCGCCTTCAGCACGAGCTCTCCTTGGCTCTTGGGAGAGCATCTCCCAGTTTCCACGTGCTGGGAATGCTTGAAGGTCTCTAGCCACCCTCCCTTCGGGCGCTGGGGGACTCTCCAGCTGCGTTGGTTGAACACAAGGGCCGTTGCTGGAGATGAATGCCCAGTTTCATGCTTGATTTGCAGAATCTTATCCAAGCACATACCTTTAATTAGCCGGGTTGCCTTTTGAAAACTCTTGTCCCTTTCTGCTCTCGGGTGGCAAAGCCACCTCTGCTCTTTTGTGGGGAACGTGGACCTGTAAGCGTTGCGGAGAAGGGGAAGGCAGGAGCTGTCGGCATGCTTGTCTGCTGGTGGAGGTGGTGGGAAGAAGCCTCGTAGGTGATGGTCACTGGCAAGGTGACTGGCACTTATCAAACCAAAGATCAAACCATATGCAGCAGCCAGCCGGAGCTTGTGATTTTGTTGTGCTTCACACTTGACAATGGGCCGGAGATTAAACACTCAGTTTAATCTGGGTGTTGAAGGAAGTCCCATCACTCCAAAGGGTTAGCTCAAGACACCTTGGCTGGGTTTTTCTTCCCCTTCCCTGGGCCACCCCTTCCAGGGCAAAGCTGGAGACGGGACCTCAAGTTAATCTTCTTCAAACCGGTGCCTGGGAGCGAGAGGACTGGTTTCCCTTGGTCCCTGGCTTCCCAGTAGTTCAGAGAACACGGAAGGAGCTAAAATCCATCTCTGTTGCCTGTGCTGTCTTGACTCCAAGGCTTGAAAGGGGATTTGCATGTGTTGTGCTGCTGAAATAAGGTAGGGCTCGTGGATGCCTCCTGCTCCTGGTCCTCTGCATCTCTGAGCAGATGTCTGGCGTCCTTCGGCATGGGACGGCAGCAGAGGGGGAAGGATCTGTGTGAAGCTGCGTGGCCCTGACCAGCTTACAGCCCACTGGTGTTGATGCATTTGATTCCCCAGCATGCGGCAGGTGGCTATTCTGGGAACAGAGTGTTTACTTTAGTTGTTCCTTGGCAATTAAGACAGACTAAGCGACCAAGTTCAAAAAATACTGCGATAGTTGGTATATATAGCAAACTCACCACATTTCCACGCAGTCCCTCCAAAACCTGCCTCTTGTGCTGAATGAGTTTCTTTGGGACCAAGGTATGTGGTTTTTTGTTGTTTTTTTGTTTTGTTTTGTGTGTGTTTGGGGGATTTTTTTTTTTTTTTTGGTCTTTTTTTCTGCACTGCCATACTTATTCTTGGCTCTGCAGCTCTGGCAGACATGCTGCCGTCCCGCAGCCCAGCATTGCCCGGGGATGCTGGTGTGGGGGCTGCTTTCCACGAGGGTCTTGCCCTGGGACCTGGGATGTGCAGGCAGCTCAGCCTTGCCCAGGGCTGGGTGTTCTGCCTTCGAGATGAGGCAGGATGCTGGCTGGGGCCGCAGCATGGCCGAAGGCTCCTTGCTGTCCCACAGGCAGGTGGGATGGTTTTTCCATGCACTGAAGGCAGCAGCATTTGATAAAACCACTCTAGCAAGTGCATTCTTTTCTTTTTCTTTTAATAGCCCCTGTTACCCTACCCTGGGGTAACGGGGCGATGTGGCAAAAGGCCGGTGCTGCCAGCATCTCTGCCAGCTCTGGGGGGTGCGTGGCTGTTCCAGCTTGGATGCTCGGGGCTGTTGGCACTTCCCATGGGGCTGCCTGGGCAGGACGGCCTCCGCCAAACCAGCTGCCACCTCTTACGGTAGCAATATGATATCAATAGCTGCTCTCCTGACAAGGCTCCTGGCTTGGTTTGCTTACTGGAGGGTTTTCCCCCGGTCTGCGGGTGTTCAGTTCTTGTGCAGCTCTCAGGCTGTGCCACCAGCATCCTTTCTGCCCGTTTTAGCTTCATAAAGGTGTGTTGCATGTTGGGCTCCAAACTTGCCCTTTCCTGGAACCTCTCGAGATGGATGATGGCCTGGTGGGGATGGTGGGTCCTGACATTAGAGTTCAGACCCTTTTTGGCCATTGACTTCCAGAAGTAAACACACCAGCTTTTCTCAGCCCAAGTTCCCCAGTTTTCCCAGTTTCTGTCACTTTGGCTAAAGTTGTGGGTCGCTGTCTCTGTGCAAGCCTGCGTCGGGAGCCCGGCCGGGGCTGCCCCCCTCCCAGCCCTCCTGCGGGCTGAGTTACGGGGTCTGGGACTGAAGCTGAATTACCAGAGGGCAGCATTCCGGGATCTCCGGTGTGGCTGTCCCTGGGATATTTTTTTTGGCTCACACAAGGCTTTCTGTCCGCCTGTGCCATGCTGCGTCGTAAACCCACACTTCCACCGGCTGCCTGCCAAGTTTCCTCTGCTCTTATCGCTGCTCTTGGCTGTGGGATGCTGCAGACCGCTGTGGTGCTTCCCCTCGGATGGCGAGTTCCCCACGCGCCTTCCAGTTTCCATCATCCTCTGTGTGCTTGCCCTTCCAAGCCGTCGGAGACGTCATTTCTTCCAGCCTGCTCGCAGAATAGACAGTCTATTGAAGTCTTGTCTTCTGGGGTCCTTCCAGCCTCTTGTTTCTCCTAACGCTTGATGAAATCTATGAAAAATGGCCCATGGTGATGGTTTTGGTTTTTTTTTTTTTTTTTTTTCCATGGAAGGCCAAGAAGAAACCACTTGGATGATTTGGCTTGAGGTCTAGAGGGAAATGCTAGAGGGTTGCTGTTCTGGCTTGTGACACTTGTTTTGCTGTTAACTGCACAGCCTGAAAGAAGCAAGTTTGGCATTACAGCTGTGAGGGTCTGGTTGAGGATCAGAGGGGAGTGAGAGCTTCAGATTCTGGGAGAACAGGGCTTGGAAGTACAAGAAAAGGCTTTGGCTTCAGTGAGTCTTGAGTCCACGCTGAGCCTCAGCTGCTGTCCTGGCTGCTGGCTGGGGTGGGCTCAGACAGCCCCGTCCGCCCCGTCCTTGGGGATGCAGCTCTCTGCATGAAGTCCCGTCACTCGTTTAGACAGACCCCACCTTACGTACGCTGGGTATTATGGTCTGCATTTAGGGGTAGCTCTGCTGACCGCCCAGTGCGCTCACTCTCTGACGGTCACTGCAGGGTTTCTGGGTGACTGGCTGAAGTTTTTTTCTTTGCAGCTCGACAGGACAGAGACAGCCGTGAACAACCTCAACCCTGCTTTTGCCAAGAAGTTCATCATTGACTACCACTTCGAAGAAGTGCAGAAGCTTAAGTTTGCCTTGTTTGACCAGGACAAGTCGAGCATGCAGCTGTATGAGCATGACTTTTTGGGCGAATTCTCCTGCACGCTGGGCATGGTGAGTCTCTGGGGTCCCTGCAGCTCGCTCTCCCCCAGCGAAGGGACCCCAAATCACGTCAGCCACAGGGACATGGAGGGATTAGAGCTGCTACTTTCATCTACTATAAGGTTTGCTGGGTCCTTCCTGGCAAAACCAACTTGATTTGCTTGTCGTGCTTCAACTGTTGAGGTTGAACTGTTCCACGTTAGGACTGTTGGCTACTTGCTCAAGCCTAAGCTAGTCATAGTGTGGGCTTCTGCTGGTGTCTGCAGAGACACAGCAGCTGGAAGCTTTTGGAGGTACCTGTTTCTCAGCATGGGTTATAGTAAGAGCCCTGATGATGAGCTTGGATTTGGATTTGGGAAACTTCCAGACGATTAAATTTAGGATGCATTGTGGGCTACCTTTCTACCCTAGTTTTGGGAGGGTTTTGTTGGCTTTTTTTTTTTTTTTTTTTTTGGTCTAAAAAAAGCCTTGTCCATTACCATTGTGCAGCAAACCATCTCTTCTACTTTAGCATGTTGGTGCAAGAATGTGTCTTCTGCTTTTCCCGTGGAAGATCTTTCAGGACACAATGAAATTTATAAGCCTTTGGAAGGTTTTGTGTCCATGAGCCCAGACCCTGTTAGGAGTTGGCAGCCACGTTCTCCAAATGTCTTTGTCCTCTGAGCTTGCTCTGACTCAGAGGCAGGGAACGAGGGGGATTTTTTCCGTTCTCTTGCAGCATCTGGCGGCTCGGGGCCGCTGTGATACCTGGCACAAGCGCAGAGGCTGGGAGAAACTGTCTCTGTTGTGCTCGGTGCTGGGGTCTGGGAGAGAGGAGACACTGTAATAGGTGGGTCAGTGTGGACAGCCAGTCCAAGGTGTTCAGGGAGGCTCGTGAACGTGATTGCTTTATTACACAGGGTGCAATATGGCACTTTATTGTGGCAGGGGGGGGCAAGTGACCTTACCATGGCCAACTCAGGAGCTTGACGTGTTACAAGAGCACTGACATTTACAGAGTTTGAGGTTTAACGTCTGGGGTTTTGGAAGTGCTCTGTGATGAGCTAATTGTGCTCCTGCAAAAGTTAAGAGACAGTGCAGGCAACAGCCCAGGCTGGTGTTCAGTGATTTAGAGCAAACCCATCCTTTACTGTTAGTTCTCCTGTTGCTGAAACACAGCTGCCTCTGGTATGGGGCAGTTCAGCAATACTCGTTATGAAGGTCATGGTCTTGGTGGAAGCTGCAAGCAGAGAATTTATGGACATAAGGAAACAGAGGTGAAACCCTGCTATTCCTAAATGGGGCTCTGCAGAAGTCCAGGGCTCTGCAGAAGTCCAGGGCTCTGCAGGCTCATGCTGGAAAGGAACTTTATCTGTATGTGCTGGGGAGGAAAGTGGAAGAGTCTGACCTACCTCCTCCTGCTTGTTGGGTCTCCCAGACAAGCCCAACCCTTTCCAGTGCTTTGAAAGGTGATTAGCTCAGAGCATGAGACTGGACAGGCCATCCTGTGGTTGTGGTAATGGTGGGGACAGGCAGCTGTTGGCAGGTCTCACATCCAAGGTGCTTGCTCAGAACAGTTGATAGTTTAGCCGTGGTGGCTGACGGGCATGGCATGACTGTCTACCGTGTCTTTAGGCACAGCTGGTAGTCTTAGTCTGCGAGAATAAAAGAGAGCTCTGAACTTCTGTAATGCCATGCAAGTACTTACACTCTGCAAAAGAGAACTCGGCTTGTGTGTGCACCCAGTTTTCAGTGAGCGTTTGCAGCGGCTCCCACGTGAGCTTCGTGGAGACATTCAGTCCACAAGACACCAGCTCGAAATGGAGGGACCTCCTTGTTTCCCCTTTCTTCCTGAAATTCTCTGTTAGCCTCCTCTCCCCGTGGCCAGCATGGGCTTGCAGCCCGGCACGGTCACGGGGCAGAGGTGGCCCGGAGGAGTAGCACGTGCGCCGGGGTGCCTGGTGAGGAAAGGGGTGAAACAGGGCGGACGGTGGCTTGTGGGTTCAGCCACACCCTGCTGTGGGGTTTCGGATGGCTGGATTTTGTCTGGTGAGATGTTTTCATAAGCCTGCCCAGTTCTGAGGCATGAGCAGCTCTTAGAAGGAAGGAGAGCAGCTGTGGGCAAGCGACAACTGCACAGTGAACATCTGACTTTTCAATTCTGAGTTTGCATTGGAGCTCTTTCAGATTAGCCAGATTGTTTTATTGCAGCTAATTAGGCCTGTGGTAAGATTTAAAAGGACAGTTGGATCATTCGCAGGCCTGTCATGACCTCTGCGGACAAACGAAATGTAACAGGGATCAAATTGCAGGCTGGAGGGTGTTTGTGGTTTCTGCTTGCCAGGGGTTGTGAGGAGATTTTGCCTCCCTGTACACACTGTGGCACAAACATCTTTTTATGCTCGCTGGTGATTCCTATGCATTTATGGATCAAAAGCACCAGGACATGGCTCACTAGCCACAATGGGAAAGGGGGTTTGCCTTGAAATTGCAAGAAGAGGGAGAAGAATATTTCTGGGGAGCAATGGGAGGAATCCAAGTGTGACCGGGTCACCTGAATAGCAGGAGCAACAGGTTAATCCATTTCATTACGTTTTTGTTTTGGTTTGGGTTTTTTTGTGTTTTTTGTTTTTTTTTTTCTTTTTTTTCTTTTTTTTAATTAATATTATTATTTTCTGACTATGTGATGTAGGACATGGTAGAGACAGAAGGATGGATGGGAGTGCACTTTTTAAACCACAACCCCTAGATCTCAAAGGGGTGCCCCCTAGGTATGGGAGCAGAGCACAGATAGTTCCAGCAGGTTGCTGGACACCATGTGGGGCTCTGCACTTCGTGGGGAAAACCTGTGGGATCCTTTGGTCTGAAGGCAACCGAAACTCAGTGAGCTGGGAAAAACCTCAAGGGGGTTTAATTCAGCTCCCAGATCACCCTGTCTGGCCTCTTACAAGCCAGAAGTGAAGGGGAGGACATGCCTTTGGGAGTGCTGACCTGACCCCTGTGCCTTGCTCGGCAGCAGCTGTGCAGGGGATGCAGAATGATGCTGAGGGAGAGCACCCGGCTCGTAATCGGGATTCACCCATGGAAATGTGTCCTGAAAGCCAGTTGCTGGCAGGGGTCACGTCAGACATATTTAAAATGGGGTTTGAAAGGTTGAGTTGTGATTTTGCTGGGAACAAATCGTGGTGGCGCCGGCTGTGTGAGGTTCCACTGAACCCCCTCCACGCAAAGAGCTGGGCCCTGGGCTCAGCGGGAGGTGATGCTTCAGCCTCTTGTGCCGTCGCTGCTCTGCACTGTTCGTCCGCTGCCCTGCACCCCACGGGCTCCGGTGACGGTGGTGATACTCACAGTATCATGGGCATCCCTGAACACGATGTCTTCCTTCTACTGTTGGGAATGCTTAATCTGAATTAACTAACATGAGCAACGATCAGTTGCTTATGAGTCTGCTTTTGATCACTTGTACAGTCATGACTTTATTTTCTTTGGTTTCTCTAGATTGTCTCCAGCAAGAAAATAACACGGACCCTTCTTTTGGGGAATGGCAAACCAGCTGGGAAAGGGATGATAACGGTATGGTTATTCCTTTACATTACCTACTGAGTGTGTAAGGGTGGATAATAACCTGGGGGGCGATGCAGGAGGCTGGGGTTTAACTCACAAACATGATTCCCCTCATGTCCCATTTTCCTGCCCACTTTGGTCTGTTTGGGGGACTATTTATTTGGGGTATTATTTGGGACCATCTTGCCCGGTGTCTCCCTGACGTCCAGAGGTGTGCATCTTCAACCTCAGCTTTGATCTCTGAAATAAGAAAAACCTCAGTCTGGAGAAGTACAAATCTATGCTGCCTCTGTTTGTTATCTGGTACAACGTGCCTGCTCAGCCCTCCCCGGAGCAGCGGGAGGCAGGAGGGCTGACTCCTTTGCTGGCGTTGGGTGGTTTTGTTTGTAGGAAGAGGATGGGAGCTGTGCCGTAGCAACAACTCTCATAGCAACAGCCGCTGCTCCTGATGCAGACCCCTTCGGGCAGTGGCCTTCCTGCTGCAGATCTATTTAGTGATGGATTTTTTCAAAAGGAAAAGACTAAATTTAGGTGCATTTCCCTCCTGCCGCATCTCCCATCCTTTCTGGATCTCTTCTGTCGTACGTGTTTTGTGAGATGTGCAGATGGACAGAAAAGATGTGGAAGAAGAGGCCAACAGGGAGTTAAACCTCCATTGGGTTTAAAAGCACTGGAAGGGTTTAAAGCAGTTTAAAAGTCTAGGACCTGGCTGCTGCAAGGGCATCTCCATCACTGTTTGCTCTTAGAGGCTGGGAAGATGCTGCCAGCTTTTCTCTCTTAATTGCTGCAGTTAGTCTTTAAATGCCAGAGGAAAAGCGGTGCCCGATGCCGTGGGCTCGCGACCCCATCCGATGCTTGAGGGGGGAACCAGACAAAAAAATTCCAGTCAAGTTCAAAGGTTACATACTTTAAAAAACAGGAAGGTCCTGATCTGTCACTAGAGTGTCATTAAAAATCAAAGGGTCTGAGATGTCTGCTTCATTATGTAACATTGATGCAATTTTCTGATCTGTTTGGTTTTTTTGCCTTGGCTTGGTGATGACAAGAGGGTCATGTGTGGTGGGCACCTTTCCTCATAAAATATGGAGCTTGGAGCCAAACCCTGCCTTCTTCACTCCCATCCCCTTCACTTTTGCCCAAGGATCCTTATTCTTAACTGAGAGGCCAGAGGGGTGAGCGCAACAGAAAATACCTTGGCTGGCTGGCTGGGATCGCATGGTGGTCCCTAGGTTTGAAGAGATGGGAAAAAATCCCCAAGTGAGCCACTGTTTGTGGAAATAAATCCTGAGGTCTTTCCACACACCTCTGCTGGACACAGTGGTGGGGATGTTTTTACTGCCCATGCTGACCAAGAGAAGATGCTACCAGCAGCCTGCGGCGGTGTAGCACGAGGACATACCTGGCTTGTCTGCAGAGTCTGGTTTTTACGTAGCCTCCAGTGAGCTCTAGAATGCTGGACACCAACTGGGCGTGCTTTTAACGGGATCGGCAAAGGACAAATTTAATCCGCTTCCCTACAGCTCCTCTTCCTCACCCTGGTTTTGGCAAACATGCATGCCCATCACGGGCTAGCTGGGAGAGAAAACTGATGCCGTGGCTTTGCGATAGGGAACCTCTGACTTCATGGTATATGGGGCAGAGGGGAAAATTTGGTTTTACACACGGTGAACGCATCCTCTGTGGACCAGAGAGCGGTGTCCTCCATGGAAAAGCTGGGAGGTTGTTGGGGAGCTGCAGCTCATCCCCTCACCCAGCTGTCCAGGCAGGTTCAAAAGCTGCATCTCTGCCTCCTTGACTCTGCAAAATCCCTGGCTCTCGTAAGTGCCAATAACCCCCTGATTGCTCATTCTGCAGAAAATTGTCCCCTTGATTTCCGCAAGTTTGTCTAAAAGCCTTGCTGTAATGATGCTGTGTATCTCCAGCGAAGGACAGCCTCGTGTGAGAGCCAGCAAACGGCTGTGCTTGGGAGCACCGTGCAGATGGAGAATGTCCACGCCGTGCTCCCGGCCGTGCGGTGCCAGCTCCTGCCCGGGGGGGATGACGTGGCCGAGGATGCCGGGGGATGGCTCAGCCCACCCCAGGGAGCGGAGGAGGGAGAGGTGGGGAGCAGATGCTCCGGCAGGACACAGCCTTGAGGAAAAAAAGACAAGTGATTCAGAAAACGGCTGGTAACAGAAGTGAATAAATGTGTTTTTTTGTTATAAACATTCCCTTTCTTAAAATACCAAGAGACTCATTAGACCACGTTCCAGACAAAACCGGCCCACTGGTGGTTGGCAGCTGAAGCCCTTCTGGAGTGTACGCGAATAAAGTCTTAAACTGAAGTGATCTGGGCTGCTCCTCAGCAGCCAACGGTGGAGTTTTCATCCTCGGGGCCATCTCGCCAGGTGATCGTGCAGAGACATGGCTCGAGTTCCTGGTGCCTCCGGTATCTCTCCCAAGGGATGGGGAAGCTGCTTTTTGCCGTGCCCAGCCTGGGACATGGAGGATGAGGAGGCACATCTTGCTGGCAAGGGGTTTTTATGACTCCTTCTTCCTCTTAGCTTGGTCCCTGGAGGCTTCTCCAGGTTCTGAGTGAGCTCTGGTGCAGAAAAGCCACGTGAGACCAGCTCAGGCATGACACCCGAGAAAGGGGATGAGCTTGCTCCCAGAAGCTTCATTTTAGATCTGATGGCATGGGGAAAGGAGGCTGCTCGGGATGTCCTGGCACTTCGTTCTCCCTTCAGGTTGTCCAGTCAAGAGGCTCAGTTGTACCCGTTGACTCCCATCCCTGCAGATGAACACGTTTCATGTGGACCCAGCCCCAACAATGAGGCTGTGGAGGTCGGTGGATGTCATGGGGCAGCAGCACCAGCATCGTAGCTGGTAGCCTGATAAAAAAAAAAAGTATCCTGTTTTGTTTTAAAGCTGGTGTGTCAGCGCCTTGGTGCAGGGTAAATGGCAGTGCCCATCCAGGAGACTTCTTCTCCAGGGCCCTTTATCCATCCTTCTCCATTCCAGGGAGAAGCTGGGAAGTAGGCTTTGGTCCCAAATTAATCTGGAGAGGTAAAATCAGTTTAATTCCTCAATAATGAAATACTGTGTGGATTAGATCATCCAGTCTCTTAGCTGGGAAGTGGGTTTTGCAGCAGTTGTGCAGGTATCTTCAGAGAGCGCACCCTCAGGGTCTGGATTCTCCCCTGGCTTGGTGCTCATTTTCTTTTTCTGCTGAAAATGAATGCAGCCTTCCCTTGTCTTTCAGATAGCTGCCCAAGAGCTCTCGGATAACAGGGTGATTACTCTGAGCATGGCCGGCAGGAAACTGGATAAAAAGGTGAGTGGGGTTGTGTCTGGGGGATGCAGTGTTAAACTTCTGTCCTTCATAGACTAAGGAATCTAAAGAAATCTCTGCTTTTGCATGTAGCAGTGACAGAAAATAGTCCTACTGGAGAAAGCATTAGGGTGAGACTGGAGGGGTTCAAGTCCTGGCAGTGCCACTGGCTGCTGGGTACACCCGTGCCTCAGTTTCCCTATTGTCACAGTATTGCTTTCTTCATCATGTGTGTTGAGATGAAAAGATTGTGTGTGGCACAGGATCTGTATACTAGCACATCTTAAAGACAGCAGATTTACTACTTCAGTGGCTGTCATTTGGAAGTGTGTCCTGACGGAGCTGGCAGTTCTGATGCCGCCTGAACCCTTGTCTCAGAAGTGCTGAGAGCTCCTGACTTGCTGCCTTCAGCCCCTCTGGGAATCGCGTGAACATCTGCTTGTATATCAAACAGTAGGGCCTGTCTTTTCCGAGGAAGAAGTGTTGACCTCATGGAGGCAGGTAGCGTATGAATTTTGCTTTGGGTACTATACATAGGAAACCATGAGCCTTTCCTGAGCAAAGCCATCTGACCTTATTTACCAGGCAACCAGCACTATTCCTCTTAAACCAGTGCTGTTGCTAAGCGATCGATGGGAATATTAGTTTTTCCTTCTTCCTAGTCTCTCCGTAGCTTGAGTTATTGGCAGGATGACCCTCAGTTTTCAAACCAGGGTAAAGCAAGCATCTGGGCAGTATGGTATTTGCTGGGGCAGAAGACGTGTTTTCTTCAGTCCCATTGGATGGATGCCTGGTTTGTCCGACTGTTTTTCCCACCTTTGGGAATGGCTGTTTTCTCACCTTCTTGCTGTGCAAGGAGCTGAATGTTAAGAAATCCCCAAATAACTCCATTTCATAAATGGGCTGGAAGATGTCCCTGAGGTGGTGGCTTCCTCTGAGGCGTGACCAAGGGTCAGCCCCGTGCCTGTCAGTGAGGACATCCCTAAAGCAACAGTTTTCTTCCAGCACCCCAAGAAAAAGCCTCTGCTCCCTTGCAAAGCAAGGGATGGGATTTCACAGCAGTCTTGGTGCCTGTCCTTTGTGCTTCGGGGTCCATTTGCAGCTGTGGCCATTGTGAAGAGCAGGGCCAGGGACCTGGGTGCTCCCTGCAACACTGGTACTTCAGACATATATCCACTTGCATTGCAACTTCACTGGTGGCATCACTTGCTCCATGGGCAGGAGTTGGCTTTCTAATTCAGCTTGCGACCAAGTTCCTCTACCAGGCTATACAAAGGTGACATCTTTTGATACGCTTCAGCTAGGACATGATACCTGTGGGTCTGCTGCCCTTGAGACCCCCAAAGTATGGAAATTCAGCATCTACCCGGCTACACTGGGGTAAGGACTGTGAATAATCCTGTTCTTTCTGGGTCACCTTCAAAAGGTGTCAGCAAAAAGCTCCTTCATCGGTGACCACATGCTGTCACCAAGATCTAATGAGGTTTCTTTGCCGATTCCAATAGCGCAGCACAAAGTTGCAGTGCTCAAAGTCCTCCTCGTGGGCAAAGGATGTTTATGTCGCTTTACACAAATTAAAACAGTGTCTGAACAAGGAAATTGGGTGAAACACAATGTCGGGGTCATTACTGGTCACGGATGAAATGCAACTGTGGGAGCTGGGTAAAACTTATTTAAGCTTAGGAAAGACAGCAAGGAAATGACTGAGCAAAAAACCACAGGGGTAAGGCTGCAGCCTGGGGGTAGCACCCTCCTGCACCATGAGCATGTAGCAGGGGAGCATGGCTGGAGGCTCGGACATCATGTGAAGGGGTCAAATCTCACAGGAGTTTGTGGTGGGGCCATGAGATCATCTTGCTGCATCTGCCGAGCCGAAGCTGCGAGCCGTCCCTTACCGGCAGCTGTGCCGCAAACCCAGCCTGGGGCCGTGCTCAGCCCCAGGCAACTCCTTCTGCCGTGAGCACCCTGAGCCTGGGACCTCTCCCAGGCTGCGGGCTGGTCCTCCTTCCTATCACACATCCACGGTTTCTCCACCCGCAGCTCACTACCTTGCTTTGAATGCCAAAGCTGCGCAGCGGGAGCGCGGCAGCGGCAAAACCAGCCTGAGGCTCTTGTGCGTTACGTCCGATCAACTCTTAGGAGAATTGTTTTAAGAAGAAATACCTCGCAGAAGAGGAGGTGTTTTCACCTGGGGCCAGCCCTGGTGAACCCGGCCGCAGAGCGGTGTGTGCCACCACGGTCAGCAGGAGGGCAGCGATGCTTCGGCACGGCTTGGGGAGGGCAAGGGCTGTGAGCCTGGAGCGGTGCTGGGCGCTGTGGTTCGGGGAGCTGCATCTGGTGGAAGTGCCACCTCCGCCCTCCTTCTCCATGTTGTGCACGGACCGGTTTGAATGATTTAGATTCTTGGACCAGTTTACAGATCAATCTGGTCTGCCGAGCAACTTTGGTTGCTCAGTTTCCATCTCCCACCAGGCTTGCAGGGGTGAGATGTTTGTGGATTTGACATTTTAAAATAGCAGCCCACAATCCTGTGGCCTGGAGGCATCTCCCACCCTGCTTCAAACGGAGCAAGGGTGACCAGACTTGCAAACCAGGCTGCTCGGCGTGGGACGGCAGCAGATATCCTCCAGAGCTCCCTGCCGTCCTCTGAGCCGCTGCCACCACCAGCCCACGCTGGGCTGGTGCTGATGAAACCACGCTGGGCTGCAGGTTAAGCCGGCACAGGCAGGGTCAGGTACCCACCGCTGGTTCTTTAATCCATCAGTGAAGCTTGCAAGTGCCAAGTCCAGGCTGTGGGCGAGCAGGATCAGAGCTGTGCCATAACCATAACCCTGCAGGAAGAACGGCTTGGTTTTCTCCCCTACAAACATGTGAAAAAGGGTAGGAGAAAAATAGCCTCATCTCACCAGAGAGCATCCCTGCGAGCCTTCATGGTCTGCTCTTCTGGCAGAAGAATTTTGACCGAAGCAGATTATGGTTTCTCTGAGCAAAACCACTTTGTGGTGATTTACGGCTAGCTTCGGAAACAGGATTTGGGTAGAAACGTTAAAGGGTTTTCTGCTGGGGCATCACTAGAGCCTGTGTCCATCTCCACCGTTACCTCCCTGGCTGGCTGTGGACAGGGGCTCCTGGGGTGTCCGTGCTTCCTCCTCCTCCACGAGTGGCCCCCTGCGTCCCCACCCCATCACTTGGAAGCCCAAAAAGCTCCTGTTCAAACCCGTTAGAAGTTCCTCCAGCTCTTTGCAGGACGCGGGCACCGACCTCCCTCTGTGAGGAAAAGCCAGCTGAGATGTCTTGAGTTCTCAATAAATCATTTGGCATATTTTGACCTTGGTTTCTTGGTAGCCACTTCTTAGTTTTTCTGAATGGGAACGAAGTTCTGCTTAGGAATGCTGGAGTTCCCCTGGGTCGGTGCCACCAGTGCCACCCTCCTCTCCAGGCTGCAGGGGCCCTGAAGCAGCCCCTGTGCCAATACCCAGCAGGGATGCGTGCGTACATGTACATATTTCTCATACAGCAGCAGACCTTTATCGGGGGAATATCTGAGGAGATGCTAGCAGGAAAGGCAGCGTACACTGACTCCGGGCTGCGTATCTCGGAGGGTGTTACATGATCTCTGTCAACACCAGGGCAGCTTGCTCCTTAAAGATTTCCTCTGCTCGTGCTTTACTGCTGTGTGTAGGAGGGTGGGTTTTTTGTTTGTTTTTTTTTTTTTTTTTTCCTTTCCATTTTCCCCCAAGACACTCGTGCACTTCATAATTCTGTTTTTCCTTTGAAGCTTCGGATGTTTTTCCAAGCCCAAACGCAGCTGCCTCCCAGCTGGGGTTGTTTTCCATGACATCTGCCTCCAGAGAGCTCGCCGGGTGGCGGGCGCCCGCCGGCAAATCCCAGGGGTGCGCGCCGGGGTGCCGGCCGGCCCGCTGCATCGGCGCCGAAACGCGGCGCGAGCACCGGTGGGCTTCGCCTGCCCAGGACGCAGCGGGGTGGCAGGGTGCTGCCCGGTTTTGTCGCCGTGCTCAAGCCGGTCTCGTGAAGACGTGAGGCTGTCTGCAGGCTTGGCGCTGCCGGGGAAGGGAGGTCTCTCTCTCTTGGCCCGGCTGTCGCTGCTTGCGGAGCACGGTGTAACCCGTCCTGTTCTTTCCCCCCTCCCCCAGGACCTGTTTGGAAAGTCAGACCCCTTCTTGGAGTTTTATAAACCAGGGGACGACGGGAAATGGATGCTGGTCCACAGGACAGAGGTGAGTGTGACCCTAACCCGAGCTGCTGAGACACCACCATTCTTACATCAGCTTTTCTTGCCCTTAATGGCATTAGCTCATCAATCACTCATCAAGCAGGGTGGGATCCAGGGATTTAAAAACTTTACGGCTGCCTTCCCGGTGTCCAGCTGAGGCTGCCGGACTCCAGCCAGGTAAAGATGTACTGAGACCAGCAAGGTCTTGAGATATTTTCTGTACTACTCACTACTGTATCTACCAAGCAGAGAGGGAGACGGTAACCTGGACCACTCTCCCTCCGCTCGCAGGAGCATCAGGATGAGCTGTGACCTGGGGAAATGGTGGAGAGAGGTGGTGGGAGACATCCCAGGGAATGGTAACGGGGAAGAGTGAAAACGAGCTTTTATCAGATCCCCAGCTAACCTGGGAGGATGCTCGTGCAACTCCAGCTTCATTGCACGAGCACTTGGGCTCGTGTCCAGTGGAGCCGGAGCCCCGGCTGAGAAGGCAGAGACCTGTACTGGGGTCCCGGTGGGTACAGGCAGGGGCAGCTGACCCTTCCCTGTCCTTCATTTATACCCACTGTGATATTTTGATCTGAGCTCCCTTCTGGTTATGTTGTCAAGCTGCTAAAGCCAGTGATATTACAAATAAGAGGCACGGCATGGTCAGGGAGAAGCACACCCACAGGGGTGTTTGCTGGGAGAGGCAGAAGGCTGGCTTCAGCTTTAAAACCAGGCTAATAAGTACTTCTCAACAGCTTTTTTTCTCCCTCCTCAAAGCTTGCTTCGTGTTTTTTGTTTGTTTTGGGTTTGTTTTTTTTTTTTTGGCACATAGCTCCTGGCAGCTGGCAGAAAGAGGAGAGGGTGATAGCTGTAGGAGGGGCTCACAGCCCCTCCCTCAGATATTCCCCCAATAAAGGGCTGCTGGTATATGGATACACACGCATCCCTGCTGGTTAATGACACGGGGCCTGCTCTGGGACACCCGCAGCCCACCTTCCTCATGTCACACCTCATCTCCCACCCCTCTTTTTCCCATCCCTATCTCACCCCCCCTCTTTTTCTTGTCCCCTCAAAGCTCGGTTAAGGACCCCGTTGTCCCACTGCAGCAGATTGCTGTGACAAAACACACTGTGAACTCATGCAGAAGGGGAGGGTGGTATTTACAAAGTCTCTCCGTACGTTGGTTTTCACCACTGCTATGAAAAGTCCACGAGGATTTCCTTCACTCACACGCCCACGTGCACATGAGCACCAGGACATGTGTAACATCGCGTGTCCTGCAGTGCCAATGCGGGCTGTCCTTTTAACCCTAGCTCTGCTGTTTATTTTTTGGTGCTTTCCCCCACACATTTCTGTGCATATTTAACTCATACCAACCTTAATATTTCTCTACTGTGGAAGCAGGCTGGGATCTTGTTTGGTTGTTTCCTCCTGGTTTAGTGTGGGTAGCTGGGCTTTGACTCACTGAGACGTATTTCTCAGACGTGGGGATTTTGAGTGACCTCCAGCCCTTCCTCCTGGAAGAGGTGTGGGAATTGGGGGTGCAGCTGTGTACCAGCCGTCGCTGGGATCTCTGTAAGCAGAACAGGTTTATTGGGAGCAGATGTATGTATTGATGTTTCCTCTGGGTTGCTGCCCAGTTCTTCCACTGTCCTGTCTCACTGGATAAGGGTCTAGTGAGGTTTTCTTTCAAGCTCCAACAGCCTCCTCCTTACCAGCCCTGACTGTATCCCTCTGCCCTCGGAGGAATCCCATACCAGGTGACCATCTTTGTGTTTTGAGGCCAGATACAAAAAAAAAATAAGGCTCCCCATTCTTGCAGCTTTTGGCACAGGAATATAAACAGCTCTCGGTTCTGATGCTGGCATTTCTCATGCCACCACGGAGGTGTCTGGCAGGGAAGGATTAGTGTGCTCATTACAGCCTGTTATTTAAGTGCAAGTGTGAACGCCCAGCTGGGCGCCGTGTGATGGAGATGCCGCATCCTTCCCCCACCCACCGTGGGGACCCGGCAGCTGGCAGTGTGCGGGCACCATCTCGGGGTGCGTGGGCTCCCCCTGCTCTTCCCAGCCTCCCGGAGGAGGTGTTTACAAATTCTCCACTAAACTGTGCTCGCAGTGTCAGGGTTTCCCCCGGTCTCGCGCTGGAGCCTGTCTGTAAAACAAGACGCCTGTTGCAGGTCCTGTGCAGTTGTTTGCCTGCCACAAACCTCTTCCTCACCTGCTGTAGCTGCTCCGGCTCCACAAGTCCAAGGTCCTCCACGCCAGATACCTTGCACAAAGAAAGGTTAATCTGCTGCCCGTGTCTGACTTCCCTAATATTCATTACTGACATTCACGTGCTTTGAGCACACCTTTGTGAAAGAGGGTCTTCACCTGCCCTGCAGGCATCTCCGAGGTATGCAGCACATGCCTGGAGACTGCTAGCATTTCTTAGGTTTCCACCGAGCGATTGCATTCTCTCAGGAAGTGTCAAAAAACACCAATTATTTCTCCAGCTCAGGCAGCAGATGTTACGCAGATGAGGCGAGAGAGCTGGACGTGCCCAGGGCTGTTGGGCTTTCTCAGCTGGTTGCAGCGTCCCACTACTCCATCCATCTCCTTGATGGTCAGACCCCAGATAGATACAGGCTTCACTGGGGTGTTGGTGGGGAGTAACGAATGAGTAGGTCAGAAGCAATGGGACGCAGAGGGCATTTGAACTGGTGGGGTGAGTGGTTTGTGTCCATGCCCTGGGCATGGTTGTGCTCACGCTGCCTGGTCTGCTGCACCTGTTTTCTCAAGCAGGTTTGCTTAATTGCCCCTGGAGGTGGATAAATCACCCAACATAGTGCAAACAAATCTGTTGTAACTCACACATGCTACAGCCTGAGAGGGGGGAGCTGTTGCATCCAAGGTAAGGAGGCAGAAGAGGGCTGAGATGGGGCTTTGTGCAGCTTGCCTGGCCTGCCCCACTGAAAACCTGGTCCAGAGTCGCTCTTGGCGACACGTCCCCGCTTTGTGCCAATCCCCCCCTGCAGATGTGCCCGTTGTAACACACCCTTCTGTCCCCACCCCACAGGTGATCAAGTACACGCTGGACCCCGTCTGGAAGCCGTTCACTGTGCCTTTGGTGTCACTGTGCGATGGAGATGTGGAGAAGCTGATAAAGGTAACGGGGGGCCCTTTGGGTTGTGTCGGTGGTGGTCAGCCTCTGGGATTGAGCATTAAACATCTAAAACCCCACACTGGTTTATTAAAAAAACACCCAGACAAACCAGCCAAAGCAGAACCACCCCCCAAAACAAAGAAAAAAACCCAAACCTTTGTTTGGGGTCTCCAACAGGGGAGGTTGGGAACTTCAGCAGGTCTCCTCACGGAAGATAGTTACTGCATCTGAGGTTGGTTTGTGCTCCTTCTGCCCTAGGTGATGTGTTACGACTATGACAGTGATGGGGGACATGACTTCATTGGGGAGTTTCAGACCTCGGTGGCTAGGATGTGTGAAGCCCAAGATGCCTGTCCAGTAAGTGCCAACATGCTTTTTGGGGAAGAATGAGGAAGGGGCTCCCCGGGGCTGGCAGTGGGTTTTGGTACTTGCACTGGAGACCCTCAACCTGTGCTGAGGAGAAGCCAAGTCCAACCTCCTTTCTCCTTCCACCCGTACCATGAGTGACCCAGGCCATGGTTGTAGCTAAAGCACCTGAACTAGAGAGAGGGCTGAGGCAGTCCTGGCTGAAAATTGGGCTCTGATGAGATGGCTGAAGCAACGCGAATAATTTGGGAGGTTCCCTGTGGTTTGGGAGCCCAAAAGGGGAGGTGTGACATGCGGCTGGGGCTGCATCTGCAACCAGGGCAGCCTCATCCTCAGGATTGCCAGCTCCTGTGCAACTTCACACCAGTTTTGTGGCCAGAGGTGCCCCCATCTTCCCCTCAAAGTTCCGGCCAAAAGCCTTGGCAGATGCCACCCGATTGAAGGCATGTCATGAAGACTCCTGGATAAGAAGGGCTTTTCACTGCTGTCATCGCTAGGATTACAAAACCAAGAGGAGGTCTTGGCCAAGACGTAGGGGTGTGTAAAACACCATGAGTGGTGCAGTGAGAAAAGTTTCCTGGCTGGGGAAACTGAGGCACAAAGTAATGAAGTGTCCTGTCGAGGACTGTGCAAGCTGACAGTGCCAGAGGCAAACGTTGAGCCCATTTTTCTACTGGATTTACACCCGACAGCCTAGCAATAAAATCATCTCTCCATCAGACCCTGATTGATGCTGGGTAGAAGAGTGTAAAACTTGCCTTGCTGCGTGCCTGTGCTGCCATGCCCCCCTGCATAACATGGGTCCACCTGGGGATGGGCTCGCTCCCTCTGCTTCTTCTTCTTCTTGTGTGGCTTGTCACGAAAGGTCCTTCAGCACCCCTTCTCCCTGGCGTGGCTCCTTGTGACTTGTGTCATCCTTTCGTGTGGCCACACTGATGAGGGGCTACAGAAGCTGGGACAGAGATGCTCTTGCTGTAGACCAGTCACCACGTGCTGGTGTGCTTACGGGTTGGGAGCAGCACTGTCCAGCCACAGCCTGGCCAAGATGGGGGGAAAAGCTCATTGTCATCTCCAGGGCCATCACCGGGCTGGTCTGAGCAGCTCTGGGGCCACCACCAAATGGTCTGAGCTGGTCCAGAGGCATCACCAGGCTGGGAGAGGGAGCACAGACCAGCCACCACCGTCCCACGTGGGGCCCATGTGGGAGCTCCCTTGCTAGTGGGTCTGGGCTGGACCGTCTGTCTGGGTTTATTCAGTATTACGGAATTTTGTCAATAGATCTGTATTTCGATTTTGTTAGTCAGTGAAATGCAGTGTTGACATTCAGGAAACTTAAGGATATTATTAGTATTTAAAATTTTCCTATTTTTCTGGAGCTAGAAGAGCAAACACAACTTTCTCTCTGTGCTCCCTCTGCCCAGTCCCGCCCTCTCTCCCAGACCAACCCACATGTAAACTTTCTTCTTTGACAAGAGTTTTTTATTCAGCTTTAGCTTTTTAAAAAAGTTGAAATATTGCAGCAGTTTTCTGAATATTCAAGAGGCATTTTGTTTTCTCAGAGCTTTTGAGGGAAGGTGCCGGCCTGCCCTAATTATTCCTGTGTTTGACCTGTCCCATCCCTTAGACCCCCATAACCTTGCTGGGGTGTCTCAGCTGCCGCACACCAGGTCCTGGGCACAGTGAAAGCCCCTGGAAAGGAAAAGCGGCCCCTTCCCAAGCAGGTCCTGTGCCTCCAGTTCCATCGTTAAATACTAGTAGTTCGCTGCGATTCATTTATGTCTCTCCAGCACGTGGAGGGAGGGTGCCTGCAGGATGTGGCTGCCGGTGGCATCTGCAGCCACCCGGCACAGCCCAGCACGGCTCTCACACCGCTGTCTGTCTCGTGTGTTACAGCTTGAGCTGGAATGCATTAACCCCAAAAAGCAAAAGAAGAAAAAGAATTACAAGAACTCTGGGATCATCATTGTCAAGTCCTGCAAAGTGAGTACACTGCTGGGATGTTTCCTTCTGCTCCTGACCAAGCTCTGGTCTTCCCGAGCTCCACCCATCCCTTCTGCCTCCAGCACCCTTGTGTTTCCAAGCACAGCGCCTGCAGAGCATGAATAAAAGTGTGATTTCCTTTCTGCTTGGGTTTCTCTCCACTTGGAGCACCCGATGAACCACATTGCTGGTGCCACCTCACGCCCGGGTGGCCACCGGCCTGGGAGGAGGTGGTGCTCAACACGGGCAGCACCTGCACGAAGCCCAAGCTGTGGGGACACCTACCAACTGCTCGGTGTCTCCTTGGGGGCAGGGGTTGAGTGTGGGTGGGAGAGGTCCTTCCGAGCTGAGGTGTTGGTGAAATCCTCCCTTCATATGGCAGCAGCACAGCGGGGAAAGTGCCAATACAGCCCTTCCCGCACCAGATCTGCAGGTGGTGTGGGGCTGGTTTGGCCATGATGAGAGGATCTGCCATTGAGTTCACCATGATGGACACTTCCAGCTCTGGACGATCCCCATTCAGGCCTCCCACCTCAGCTTTGGACCAACACGTGGCCCTGCTTGGCCCCACATCACTCACGAAGCGTCAAAACCCCGCTGTGAGAGACCCAAGCAGTTCTTCCCATTGCTTTGCCACGCGGCTGACGGTCCCTGGAGGCCCAAACTCACAGTGACCGCAGGCTTGGGCACTTTCTGTGTATTTATTTTTTTCGTTCTGCCGTGGTGAAGATTGCTGAAACACTTTTTTTTTTGGGGGGGGGGGGGACTTTTTTCTTTCAGATAACGAGAGATTTCTCCTTCCTGGACTACATCCTGGGAGGCTGCCAGCTGATGTTTACTGTAAGGACTGTTGCTCCCCTTTGCCCAGTAATAGTAACACGCATGCAGTGGTCAAAACTGGGGAGGGAGGTTCTGTGTGAGATTCGGCACCAGCTTGGGTGGCTTTTCATGGCAATGAGGCATGTTTTGCTGTTAAACCATGTGGTTTGGGGTTTTTTTGGGGTCCTTAATGTGATTCTCAGGTGTGTCCAATAGCTGGCTAGACTTTGGCTGAAAGACTTGCACGAAGGGCTTCTAAACCTTCACAAAATGCTACTGACTTTTCTCCCCATCACAGGGTTTAACCACCCCCCAGTTTTTTAAGGAAGCTCTTATTTTGAAGCCAGTGGAGAGGCTTTGGGCTGTTAATGAGACGGTTTTCTGTATTTTTACTGGCATTTCCGCCCTCTTTCGAGCTGGACCACAGCTTGTCAGGAGTAACTAATCAAGGACATTACAACCCCGAGTGAAACCACCACAATGCAGAAGTAAGGTTTTCAATTTCTGCAAACTTTTCTGGTGCAGTATCCAGAGAGCTGCAGACAGAGTATTTCAGTTTGTATTTTGTTGTTTCATCTGAAAACATGATGGGGGGAGAGTAGGAGGAGGAGGAAGAGTTGCCATAGGAACAGGAGCAATTGGGAGAGCTTTTTGTGTGCAGTTCTGCCTCTGTGTGCTAAGGAAGGTCTTGGTGCTGGAAAGCGGTTAGAAGGGAAAATCATGAAGTTTACTGGTAGCACGGAGCTCTTGTGTGAATTAGGCTTGAATGCAGAAATTGCCCCCCCACCCCCCCCAATCTAAAGATCTGCTGGTTATTGGAGGGTTTTGCCTCCTCCTGGGGCACCTTTGGTCCAAAACCCTGCGTGGGTTTGCAGTGGGTGGGTTTGCAGTGGGTGGGTTTGCAGTGGGTGCAGCACTGCAGAAATGCCTGAGATGGGAGGAGGACACTGCTGCACGCACCCCTGCAGTTCGGAAAGGCCACTGGTGTCCTCCCCACCGAGCGGTACGGTGGGGAGAGAAGGGCTGAAGCCACAGAGAAGAGGGGCGTTGTGCCCGGCCACTTGCTTCATGCTGGAGGCAGACCAGCTGCATCCCTCTAAAATCTGTTGCCCGAGTACTGCTCTTGGTGGCATTGCTTGCACAAGGGGGGCACACGCTTGTCCGCCTCCGCTGAGCCCCCTCCCCGTGCCTCAGTTTCCCTCTTGCTCTCTGACTGTCCCCGTGGTGGCTCGGCAGGAGCTGGGCGCACAGACATGGGTGTTGCAGCAGTGAACTGCAGGTTGGTAAAGCTAGAAGGTCGCTTGACGAAGAAGTTGGGTTTTCATGGAACCACAAGATGGCTTGGGTTGGAAGGGACCTTTGAAGATCATCAATCCAACATACCAGCCATGGGCAGGGCCCCCTTCCCCCAGCCCAGGGGGCTCCCAGCCCCGTCCAACCTGGCCTTGAACCCTTCCAGGGAGGGGGCACCCACAGCTGCTCTGGGCAACCTGGTCAGGTGCCTCACCATCCTCATGGTACAACATTTCTCCGTTATCTCCCATCTAAACCCACCCTCTTCCAGTTTAAAACCATGTCCCCTTGTCCTGTCAGTCCTGTTTTACCAGCCACCCTCATACAGGGTGGTGGCACGTCCTGGGCTGTGACGTCTTCTTGCCCCAGCCAGGCCAAGGTCCCTTCTCAGCCAAACAGCAGTTCATCCTCTCCTGTTACGGATACAGAGCAAAATCCCTCGCGAATCCCCTGAGCTCAATTTAGCTGGTGGAGTTATTTTGGGGTTTGCCTATTTGCTAAGCAAACAAGGCAAGTGCAGTCACACTGCCTGCTCGCCTCTTCCCAACTCTTCCTTCCCAGTCATTTCAAATCAGGTGGCTCAGCGTCTCGCCTCTTCTGACCAGATTTAACTGGGGCTGAGATAGGCATTTCTACAAATGTCTTTAAATAGAAAGCCTAATTGAGGAGGGAGAAAAATGAATGCCTTGCTGACAAAGTCCCCTGCGAGCTCAGCATATGTTGGTCCCCAGGGAAGCGCGGTGAAGAGAGGGAAAGATCTGCTCAGGGTTGCGACTCTTTGGTTCAAAGACCTTGAGACCCAAATGACCAGGTGGCCCTGGCTGCTTTGGTGGCCATGGGGCTACTTAGTTCCTGAGCTTAACACCTGGGAGATGGGCAGCAGGAGTCCTGAGCCGGAGATGGCGGTGGCTTGCTCCAGGAGCAGGGACTGCTTTGGGACACCTTATGTGATGCTCGCTGGTGAAAAATGTAGGCATAATAGTGAATGGCTCTGCCCAACCTATTAATCAGCCTTTTTTTTAGGGAAGTTGAAGAGCTGGATTTTGTTAAACTTTTTCAAAAGTTTGAGGTTTGCATCTTGATGGGACCGTGTGTGGACCTCAGGGGCAGTGGAGGCTTGGTGGCCAGGTCTGTGGTGGTGTCTGCTAACGGAGGATGGGCCTGTGCTTCTCTCTTGTCTCCCAGGTTGGGATTGACTTCACAGCCTCCAACGGGAACCCACGAGACCCCTCCTCTTTGCACTATATCAACCCCATGGGGACAAACGAGTACTTGTCGGCTATCTGGGCTGTCGGCCAGATCATCCAGGACTACGACTCGTAAGCACTGTGCTCTTCTGATTCTGCAGATGTTTCCTGGCTTCCCGAGTGGCTGCTGGGATGCACGCGCCTTGGTTTCCCATCTGCAAAGCCAGGGCCAAATAATGGCTCGCTTTTGAAAAGCTCCTTGGGAGATAATTACCATACAGATTGGGAGCAGGAGGAGGAGAGGGTCAGGACAGGGTTTCTCCTCTCCGCCCACCACCGCTGATAGGGGGAAGGATAGTTAGCAGAGGTGGAGCAGCCTCTACTGGGGGCAACTGGAGAGCAGCTGCTTGATGCTCCCCCGGCGCACGCAGGGGCAGATGCCCTCAGCTTGCTGGTATTTGCCATTGGCCCTGCGCTGCCAGGCTGCCTTGTCCCCCAGCTGCCCTGAAGTGTGCAACACCGAAAAATATCGTCCCAGACATCGACAGAGAAAACAAAACGGATATCTGTTGGTCTTGCTGTGCTGGCTTTTGTGACTAAAATGGGTAGTTAATTTTTTTTAAGTCTCCAGGGATACGCATCTGCAAGAGGCTCAGGTGTTTGGGCAAGAGGATGCTCCTGAACCCTGTGGGTGATGAAGCAAAGCGGGACTCTTTTTTTCTCTGAAGATCAAAAGCCAAAGGGGAACATCTATTCTCTCTCTGTTCTGCTCTCATGATTTTTAAAGGCACTGTGTTGTTTTGGGAAGAGGGAAAGCTGGCACTTTTTTTAGCTGGCGCTTTCACTGTAGCTAGCCGTTGGGCAGCTGGTAGCACGGGGAGGCCCTAGCACGAGCCCTGCAAGCCTGCTTCATGTCTTTAAATACACCCATACTTTTTTCTCCTTCTCTTTTAGAGACAAGATGTTTCCTGCTCTGGGATTCGGCGCCCAGCTCCCACCAGACTGGAAGGTGAAGTGTTGTGGCCGTCTGCGCGTTTGAGATGGGTTTGCCCTGGTATTGCCCAGGCAGGAGCAGAGCTGCCAGGGCTTCCCAGCTGGCCCGGTCGGGGAAAAGCTGTCAAGCAGATGAGCGATGGGCGGATGCGGGATTTCAGCTGGTGGCCAATGAGATGTGGCAGTGTGGGTGGGCATCAAGGCGGGGATGGGGCAGGGGCAGCCTGTTCCTCCCTTCTAAGCTGGCATGAAAGCAGCAGCTCCCTGGCATTAACGGGCAGAGCTGGGCATTCATTTTTCTGGCAGGAGGCAGGAACAATTCTGGGCAAGGGAAAAGGCCCCTGGATAAATGTGTTAGACAGCAGCAAAGTCTGGAAGGGGGCTGGGAGCTGGGTAGCTTTGACGTGATGTTGCACGGGCTGAGCCTTCAAGGGCTGGAGTAGAGGGGCTTTCCCCAAAGCCACTTTGATCTTTTGTTGGGATTAGGTGCCAAAGGGGTTAAAGACACCCTGGTCCTGCAAGGGCTGGAGCTGGAGCATCCTGCTCATCAGGTGGGCCGGGGCTGGCGCTGCCTCTGCAGCCCACGCTGGCTGATGGGGAGCATCTTGTCACGGCTGAGATGTGCTGGGACACCGTCGTCTTTCGTTATGGCTGGGTCTTTTGGCTGCTCTTTGCTCACACCCTTAATGTGCATTTTCTTTCTGCTCGCTGGTTTCGAGAAGTTCCCAGCTTTGGGCTGGGCTTGTGGCTCGGCGAGCCTTTTGTGTTCTTTGGGAGGGGAGCTTTGCTCTGGGCTGAGCGCAGCAGGGCACGTAAGTCATGAGCAGCCATCAATCAGGCTGGGAAGCTCCTCGCTGTCAGTCCTCGAGGCTGGGGATGTCTTGCCTGCGCTGCCTTTGCACTTTTCTCTGCTCTCCTGGCAGCCAAAATTCATGTGACTCAAGTGGGAGCTCTTGCCATTTCCCAGCCACAGGAGGAGATCCCTCCGTGTGCACTTTGGAGCTGATTCATCCTCCTTGGCCGGCAAATGTCTCTGGTCTGTCACTTCACCCCTTTTGGTGGGAAAATCTTAGTAGGCAGCTTCCAAGGACTAACAGCCAGCTGCCATCAGGGATTTATTACTTGGGGAGGGGAACGGGAATGGAAAATGCAGTGGGTATGGAAAGGGTACGGCGGCTCAGGCTGCTGGGGGAATGGGTCATGGCGAGCATCCCGCTCTGCTGCCGCTGTGTGTGGGTCAGTGCCGGTGGCAGAGGCATCGCTGGGCTGGAAATGGCCCTTCCTGCAAGGCTGGAGGTGGGTACCAGCTCGAGGATGCTGGCTGTGGGCAGAGGGATCCTACTCCTCTCCCCGCCCTGCAGCTCTCTCCTTCAGCCTGCTGCAGAAATATTTCCCACTGCTCCTGCAGGCCTGCAGATGTTCTTTAAGTGCTACCGGAAAAAAAAAAAAAAAAAAAACCTTATTTTCCCCCAGAATGATGTCTAAGCCCACATAAACCTCAGTGGAGAGCGGCTTTCCCTCCCCAGGTGCTTGGCCCATGCCTAAAGGTGACCAGCCCTAACGCCGGCGGTGACCCATCGCTTTTCTCACGTTAGCAGTGGGGGCATCCGCCATGCACCGCTCCACACTGCTCCAGCCTCGGCCTCCATCCCTCCCTGGCTCACCTGGCCTGTGGGGTCTGTGTATCACCATCTCGGCTTACTCCTTAAAGGGTTTTTTGGCCATCAAGGCTCGTTGGGTAGTTTTAAAGCCAAAGCAGCAGTTCTTCATTGAAACCCACGCCCTGTGTTATGGCAGACAGGCAGCGGGGAGCAGCGTGGCCAGTGATGCTCCCCGGGGAACATGATGAAGGGCGGCTGTTGCACCCACAGACCAGAGTGAAAATGGGGAAGATCGTTAAGAGATAAGAGATGTATAAATGGCGCTTTGTGCTCCTGTTGCCATGGCTCCCCCAAAGCTTCCCAGGCGCCCGTCGGAGCGAGATGTTTTGCACACAAAAGTCTCGTTGGAAATGTCAAAGAACATCTTGCCGTGTAACAGCTCTGTAGAGAGCCTCGAGCGGTTTCCCAGTAGGGAACAGGAGAGGGAAGCAGATGGGCTGCGGTTTCTGGGGGATGAGCAAAGAGAAGGTGGCAGCGGAGAGGTTGACGCTTAACATCGGAGCCCCACTGGTCACCCTGGGTTTGGGAGATGGGGTCAGCCAAAGGAAGCTGGTGGATTTGCCAACGTGCCACCCCCAAGGCTTCCCATCCATTTGCCTTTTTTTTTTTTTTTTTTATATATATAGGGAAACTGAGTCACGGCAGAGGTGGGATTGCTTGGGGAGGTGGCACAGAACCCTCTGCAGGGTCAGCTCTCTGGCACAGGCTCTAGCCATGCATCTGCAAGGCACGTCCCTAATTCCTGATGGGAAGGGATGGGACTACAGTCATCCCCATCCAGGACTGGGAGAGGGCACAGGCAGGCTACAGATGAGCATCTTACTCTTTGGGGTGGTTTGAAAGCGTTTCTCCCTGTGAGTTACTGATGAATGTGATACCTGTAGGTGCTCCATATACATTTAATTGGACTCCACAGAAACTGTTTTTCAAAGTACGAGCTGAATAGGGAACAAGACCCTTCTTTTTTTTTTGTTATTTTGAAGCCCTCCTGTTGAATTTTCTAGCAGATATATATATATATATATCATATCCATAAAAACTCCAGAGGAGGTTTTGCAACACTTCTGCCACGCAGGGGGTCTGCTCTGTAGACAGTGAGGAACACAGCTCCAAATCATTCCAGTGCTGCTCAAAAGAAAGAGAAACCCCTCTTTTGCAGTGCAAAACACAGAAATATATTTGCTTGCCTTGTCTATAAATACTCATATGGCAGAATTTTGAACATCTTCTAAATAAAAAAAGAGAAAAAAAAAAAAAGTGAGCCTTTTACAACTGAAAATCAAGAAATTTGAATTTGGTTATATTGCCCCAAATTTAGACTTCTGTGAGAAAGGGTGTATGCAGCACACAGTCATGCGTTTCAGACTGTGTCTCTAACCCTGGGGGTACTGGTGGCTGGGAGCGCTACTGGTTGTGCTCAACAGGCATGGAGAGACCCAAGCAGGCTGTTGATGTTCACTGGTCCGACAGCTCGTCAGCTTTGCAGCACGGGGAGGACTTTTGGTTGACCTACTTTTGTTTGGTTGCTATTTCCCACCCCACAGCCTCTTGCAAAAATAGTTTCTGCTGCTTTCGACACAATGCCCAGTATAATTGGAAAGTATGAATCAGATGCGTGTTGCTTTTGCAGTCTCAGGAGGACTTCTGCTTCACATGGTGCTTTAGAGGCCAGTCGTTTTGCCAGCATTATGAATACGCATGTCCTGAAGCGATCCCCTGGCTGAGAAGCTCAGCAAACCTCCACCCTTCTGAGAGGGAGAAAATATCCTTGTTTTGTAACTCTGACATGAACAGACTGGGAGCTTTGTGTTTCAGAGCCCTTGTGCTGGTGGCCTGAAAGCCCAAATCACCCCCTTCAACCTTCAGAAGACCTGGAAGAGGCAAACGTACATCCTTGGTGCTCCCGAGAGTTTGTTTCTTAAGTTTCTTAAGTTGCCTAAATTGCAGGTAGCAGAGTGAGGAGTGCCCAGATGTGATGGTTGTTCCCCAAGCAAGCTGTTCACCCACTCCAACACTGGCAAGGTTCATACTGGAGGCCAGGACTCCGGATCCTCTCTTGCACCTGGGCTGTTGAGCTGACCTTCTCATGAGAGCATCTTCCTCAGCTTCAATGGAGGTGGTGGAAAACCTGAAGGATCTCGCACCTGCCTTGGAGGAGGGATGGTTTCATGGTCAATGAAAACCAGCCCAGACTGTGCTGGGACTTGCTGCCCATCACACCCATGCGTTCACGTCACTTCTTCTGTGCTGCCTTTCACCGTCATGGTGACCCAGATGATGAAGCTAATCATCTGCTGGCTTTGTCCTGGCAGCTGACATGCCAGATCAGGTCTTCAGCCCAGCTCTCTCTGTGCCTGCCTCCCTCCTGCTGCGTCATGCCACTTGCAGAGAGATGGGGAACTGGGACGCTGCCAGAACTGGGGCTTCCTGGGATGTTACTTGAGTTTTCTCCTTTTACAACCTGCGGTAGGATGAAGTAATTTCTCCTAGTGATCGGTGAGATGGCCCAGCTGGCTGAGAGCATCCCTTCCGTGTGCTTGCCCTCTGGGCAGCCGGTGGGAAGCCATGTGGACAAACCTGCTTTGATAGCTGCAGAAGAATGCGTGGTGTGATAATTTGAGGTGGCTCCGTGAGGGAGGATGGAGGAGCCAGCCCATCCCCAAATGCTGCTCAGCCCTGACCACGTTTGTATCGGCTGCTCCTTGTTGTTTGGGTAGCACAGGGCTGGGAAATGTTGCTGACTCAGCAGGATGGACCATAACGTCTGCGACCGCTGGGTCCTGCCCTGAGTTGCATCGGACCCAAACCAGCCTTGCAGCATCAGCTGATAGTAAGCAACCTGCTCTGCACTGGCTCTTCGTGTTAATTTGGGTCTTTTCTTCTCCACAGGTATCCCATGAGTTCGCTATTAACTTCAATCCCACAAACCCATTCTGTTCAGGTAAGCACCTGCCAGGTCTTTAACACTCCTTAGATGCCTTCAGTGTCTTCTGTCCTTCCCTCTTCATTTCTCCAGTAACATCTCGGGGATTTTTCAAGGTCTGTTCAGAGGCAGACGTTAATGATGAAGCAGAGCACATGCTAAAGGTGCACTCAGAGGAAAGCAGAGAAAATTTGAGGGTGTGTAGGAAGGCCCGGGGTAAAATGCAACTGGATTCAGACAGTGTAAAATCCGCCTTCGCTCTGATGTCTGGTGTGTCCTACCAGCCGTCTGCTCTTGCAACAAGCCTGCAAGAAACACCAGGCCTGTTTAGCAGATGGGGAATTCAGACTTAATTTTTCATTTAGCAACTGAGAGCTGGTCACAGTCACAGCTGAAGAGTTGCTCAAATCTAAGCGGTAAGGGCTACCATGGACTCCAGAAGTCGCCTGGTTTGACCTCTGCCTTGCCCCAGCAAAGCAGGGGCTTGGGCAGCCTCCAAACCTCGCCTGCTGGTTCATGAAAGGTGGCTGTGAACATCTGCTTTTCTGCTGCCTTTGCTTTGTTCAGTGCCTCTCCAGTAGCTGTAAGGCGTTCATTGGACCTGATTTATTGCGGGTGTTATGGGGTGCAGAAGGCACCGTCCTGCAACTCTTACCAGTGACAGGACCTTCTCAAAGAACTGATTATCAGCTGAATAACTGGCCATTTTTTAATTACACACCTATGCATCCTTTCAGGAGAGCAGCCATTTACCCTGTTCTAGTGTGGCAGAAACAGATGACCTGCAGGGTTCCAAACACACTTTGGGAGCTCAGAAGGTGCTTCTGGGATTGCTTTCCTTCTCTCTGCTACCTCTGCTCCATGTCTGTCTGGTTTTGGTTACGCTCAGAGATCGGGAGTTGCTTTTCTTTTCGTTCTTTCTCCTTGGCTGGTTCTGAGATTTTTGCAGAAACCCGAGGAAAGCCGCCTTTGACTGTGGGCACTACTAGGGCTGTCTTACTCCAGGAGGTCTGAGGACCCACTACAAAGTGACTAAAGAGCAAAGCACTGGTATTAGAAAATTTGAGTTGAGGTGGATGAAACTTGTGGGGCTGAGTGAATTTGCGGGGGAAAAAGAATAGGTCTAACTTCAGCTCCCACGACAGCGTTAGCTAAGGACGCGTAATTGGATTTGTCGTGGGCCTGGGCTGTGGCGCATTGTAACGCCTGGCTTCTCTGCTTTCCCTGCAGGTGTGGAGGGCATTGTCCAAGCGTACTCAGCCTGCCTGCCCCACATCCGCTTCTATGGACCCACCAACTTCTCCCCCATCGTCAACCACGTGGCTCGCTTCGCGGCTCAGGCCACCCAACAGGAGGCTGCATCCGTAAGTCCGTAAGATCCCGCGACGCGACGGCGATCCCGATGGCTTAGGGCAGGGGAAGGCAAAGCCTGAGTTTGGTTTTGTGTCTTTCCCTTCGCTGCAGGGCAGGGAGGCAGGGTCCTCCCACCAGCACCATCCCCGGGGCCCCTGCAGCTGTGGGCTCTCGGTTGGCTGTCATCGCTTCAGGCGGCGAATATAGAGTCATTGAAGATGCTTTTTAGGAAGACAAAAAATAACTCAAAAACTTGACAACAGTCAACAGAACTGCAGCTGTGGAAAATAATTATTGGGGAGAGAATTGAGACGAGGGTGGGAGATGCCATGAGGTGGGCGTCCCTTGGATTTAGACAAATGTCTTCTCTCAAAGAGGATCAAACAGCCCCGGGAATGGTAGCGAGAGTTGGCCAAGACACTTAGCAGCGTGGAGCAGCTCCTGTATGGGAAGCGATAAAGCTGGCCCCTTCTGGCCAGGGAAATCAACTGGGAATATCAGAGATGCATAAAATCACGAATGGTGAGGAAGTGGTTGATTTCTCCCTAATTCTTACGGGAAGGCCAGCAAGGCCCCCTGAGGAATGGCTGGGTGGTGGGTATTCGACAGGCCAGTGTGCAGTGGAGTCAGGGAGCTGAGGCCGCCCCAGGATGGTGCCTGGGGCTGAGGACTGTGAAGGTCCGAGGAGGGAAGGGGTGTGCTCATGGCAAGATCCAACTCTCAGGGGCCGTTCACCACCATGCCAGCATGAGCTCAGGCTCAGGAGTCCCTGACATGTGCCAGCTAACAGCTGGCAGGAGACAGGAAAGGATAACTTTGTTCTCTCTTAATTTTCTTCCTAAAATATCCTCTGCCGAGCTCCAAGGGGCTTTGCTCTGAGGAGGCAACCTCTGTCCTTCTGGATAAGTGGGGAACGGCAGTCCTCAGGAGCGTGATTCTTGCTTTCAAAACAGCCTCCTGCTCCTGTGTGCTGCAGGAGTGTCCTGGGGCAGGACAGACCAGGCGGTCCTGGGGTCCCTGGGGGACGCGAGGACGGTGATGCTGCCGTAGCGCGGGTGGGAAACACGAGCGACAGGGAAGAGGTTGAGCTTATTTCCCTTCAACACACACCAAAGAGCTGCAGGAAGCAACTCCCTCTCCTCTATGCAGATCTCCCAGGGGGATCTGGGGGCGCACATCCAGCCACGGGGGAACCGGTGGTTTTGGTGGGGGATGCTGGTGATTGAGGGGATGCCTGTATGCCTGCCTGTGCCGGGAGCTGCAGCTGTGGGTCCAGCCTTGCTGGTGGTGGCGGGGGTGTCCTCTTAGGGGTGCAAAAAGCATCTGAAGACTGCAAGCTGGAGCTCGCTTGGGTGGCTGTTGGGTCCCCGTGGCAGCAGGCTGCCTGCGGAGGACGGCAGGTCTGGCCCCTGGGTTTTACTGGCCAAAAGCAGCTCAGCTTGAGCATCAACACATACATGGCAGGAGCTGCCTCTCCTGATTCCTGCCTGGAGGGGAGCTGGATCACACCCGAAACCTCCTCCCCAAGGGGACCTTTTCCAGCCTTGCCTTGAGCACTGCTGCTCTTCCCAGCTCCGGGAACAGGGAAGGACTGAATTTGGTTTAATTCAACACAAATCCGGGTCGCTCCTCATTTTTTTTCCGTTTTCTCTCTCAGCATCAGTGGGGGAGGGAGAAGCCCACAGGCTCCACACTGAGCAGAGGCGCTAATCATATGCAAATTGCACGCCTCCGTTGGCACTAATAGTTTAATCAAGGGAGATTTTAAAAAATGGGCACTAATAGTGCCATCAGAGGCAAGCCTGGGTCTTTTTTTTTTTTTGGAAGCACAAGGCGTTATTGATGAGGGATCTCACTCCCCCCGGGTCTTCTCCTTTTCCATCCCATCTTCCCCGCATGCAGCAAAGCCACCTCTGATGCTGCTGGCTTCGGTGTCCGCCTGGACCTGCCCTCCTCTTCCTCCTGTTCTCACTTGCTCCCAACATTTCAAATAAAACCAGAAAAACTCGTAGTTTTTCCATGGCAACGCAGATCACAAACACCAGAGCCATCGGCTCTTAGGGGATGGGAGGACTAAAACACGTCAGGGTTGGGGGAGAGACAGAGGATTAGACACGTTTTGACTCTTGGGGAAGGATTAATAAGGTTTGGGGATTTAAAACACACCTCTTCTGCAGAGTCCCTGCATCCAAACCTCCCCTTTTCTTACTGCACGCTGCTTAACGCTGCCTAATCCCTTCAAGTCCCCGCTCACGTGTGTGAGCCTAATTGCTGCTATCATTAGCAAATGATCAGGAATCATCCCCAAAGCCCCCCTGGCTTCAGAGATCGGCCATTTTAACAACAAAAAAGAGGAGAAAGGGGCGAAGGTGCAGCTGGGTTGGTGTGCCGATGGAAACCCCATCCCAGGGGGGATCCGGCCAGGGGGTCAGCCTGGTCCCTGCCCCAGCAGCTCCAGTCGTGGCTCGGCAGAGGGGGGCACCCCTGCCCCTCTGCCATTTACTGACACCACCAAAATTGTCATTGCTCCTTGGGGAATCTCCCGCCGATGCTTTCATGTGGTGCCCACTGCTCCCTTGCTAGTGACGGTGCTCCCCACGGGGTCGCCCCACTGCAGCCCCCCAGGCTTTGAGGCTGACCCCAGCATCAGCTCTCATTTCACTCGGCCTCTGAAATAGGTCATGATAAACTTTTGATGGGGTCTGCTCTCCCCTCTTTTCCTGCATACTTTCCAGCATTTTTCTCTGATCCGGTTACGGATTTCACAGAACAAAGGGAACAACGGGAGAGAGACCTTTGCGGGTTTCTTCTTTTTGACCATGCACAGAGGCCAGTTTTGCACTGATTTATTCACAGATACTGGCAGGATGGGGAAGAGGGGTGGAATCAGCTTAAAGTCATTCCCATTATGAGGTTTTACTCTTCCTCCCATACTGGTTCACAGGCAGGGTCAAGCCCCAGCACTTGTCCTGCTTCCAGTGATGACCAGTGCTGGTCACCACGTAGGAGCATGTACATCTTCGCCTGGAGTTTAGTCTTACTCAGATTTTGGGATCTTGCTCCGCAGACCTACATCTCCCCATGATTTGCCCTGAAAAGTTCGGATTTAGGGAAAAAAAATAAATGCTGGGCAGTGCTCTGCAGGTAGGGCTAATGCTCTGAAAGGGGTTGGGGTTGGGAAGGGGCTGGCTGCCTGCCCAGGCTCAGGAAAAGCTCCTCACCCACATCCCTGGGTTGTGACTGAGCACGACCCAGCCTTGTTTGTACTTGGACTTTAGCACTGGAGAGTGTCGAGGGAAGACAACACTCAGGAAAGGTTTCAGAAGATGTGGGCTGGAGGAAAACCAAGAAAACAGGCTTGGGGCAGTGTTCCCTCTCTTGCTTTTCCAGGATGACTGCACTAATGGTTTTCAGAGGAAATGGAAATAATGAGGAGAGGAACAAAGGGCTTTAATGTGCTCAAGTGCTTGTTTTCGTCATTTCTCCAGCATATGCAAGCTGTGTAATGTGCCAAGATTGAACCATTACTTTCCTTGGAGTCAGAGCAGATAGAGGGTTTTTTTTTGGGGGGGCGTGCACGCTCCAGAGTTGCTGACCTGGGTCCAGCAGGATTGTCTGTCCCTCCTCTCCCACCTCCGTGGACTGGCCCTGTCACCCCCCTTTCCCCATGGCAAGGGGAGCGGGTGCCACTGTCGCTGCTCTGGCGTGACCCCCCCCCAGCTTCCCAATACCCTCTGCATCCCCCCTCGGTGCCTCTGAGACCCACGGGTTTGTACAGGAGGTGAACGAGCTCCGAGCGTGGTACAAGCCCCCCCCCACCCCACAGCTCAGTGCTGGGGTGCCAGAGATGCTCCCCATCAGCACGGGGATGTGTCAGTGGGGACCGCCCCGAAACACACCCTGCCATGTGCAGGTGAGGGGGGGGATTTCATTTCCCAGCTGGGCTTGTGACCTGGCCCCAAACTCCTCCTGGCCGTGACACAGAAGCTCTGCACAAGTTGTTTGGTGGTTGTTTTTTTTCATTTTTTGTGTTTCTTTTTTTTCATCAAGTACAGTAAATCAACGAAATATTTTGGGGTGGGAGTTGGTCTGTTGTTTGGTTATGATCTTTCAAAAACCAGGGGGAGTGGGAGCACTTGAAATTTCTGGGTGCTGCAGAAGGGCAGGGGGTGATGCCAAGTGTCCTGGGAGGCAGCGAACCTCGCGCTCCCAAATCCCTTGGGGGACCTGCCTCCCCCCCCCAACACACGGAGCATCCCAGCCGCTCGCACCCTGCGGGCTCTCACACTGGGTCTGACCCTCCGCCCTCCCCTCCGCAGCAATACTTCATCCTCCTCATCATCACGGACGGGGTGATCAGTGACATGGACGAGACGAGACACGCCGTGGTGCAGGCGTCCAAGCTGCCCATGTCCATCATCATCGTGGGGGTGGGCAACGCCGACTTCGCCGCCATGGAGTTCCTGGATGGGGACAGCCGGGTCCTGCGCTCCTACACCGGCGAGGAGGCCGTGCGCGACATCGTCCAGTTTGTGCCCTTCCGGGATTTCCGCAATGTGAGTGTGGGCAGCGGGGAGGGGATCGCAGGCAGAAATGGGGGGGTGGGGTGTCTCAAGCCAGGAGATGACCCTGGAAGTGGAGCAACCCCCAGAGGGGCAGAGAGAGGCGAAGGGCTGGCACCCGCCCGCCTTACCCTGGCCTTAAACTCCACATCCCGGGTGATGCTCTAGCATGGAGCACATTAAACCAGCGCTGCAGGAGCGCTCCACACCTCCAGCTGAGCATCCCTGCCCCATCCCTGCCACCCCCCTGTCATCGCCAGGGAGCAAAAATCAGTGATTTACAGCAGGGTCCAGGCTCCTGCAGCAAGCCAGAGCGGGGTGCAGGGCTCACATCCCTCTGCGGTCCCATGCTGGTGTCTCCCACTCAGGCCTCGTCCAGCACCCACGATGTGCCACGTGCTGAGGGCTTAATGCTGAATTGCCCCGGCCCTGGGGGTGAGCCCCGAGCGACCCGCTTTCCCCTCCCAGCACCTGCAGAAAGGGGTAATGCCAGCACTGGTCCTGCATGTGTCCCCTCTGCAGGATGGTTTCCCACTGCCTGACCCACCCTTGTGTGTTGGAAAAAAGCTGAGGAAGGAAGACCAAAAAAAAACCAAAGGGGAAAAAAAAAAAAAGAGAAAATCAGATGCATCTCTCTTGCATCTCTCTGCCCATCTTGCTCAGCCAGGTGTCAGCCCTGGGTCGGACACTGCTGCTGGCACAGGATTGCCCAAGGATGCAGAAAATCAGCCTGTGCTTATCTTCCCTCTTTTTGCAACTAATCAGTGTCTTTCCATTCCACCTGCTGTTACTCAATACCTGGTTTTTCTAACCTCCCGAGGATGTTTTATTCCTCCCTATCAGTGAATTATCTCCTGGAGTGAAGGTGTAGTAGAGAATATAATAATCCCAGGTGTATAAAATGCTGGCTGTCAGTAGAGCCTGGGGGGTATTAAGTGAAATGCCACGGTCTGGAGTTTGGGAGAGCCCAGCCACGTTTGCTCGGTCGGTCCCCTATGGCTGTTCTTACACCGGTGTTTGGTCCCTTTTTGCCTGCAGGCCCCCAAGGAGACCCTGGCCAAAGCTGTGCTGGCAGAGCTGCCCCAGCAAGTCGTGCAGTACTTCAAGCACCAAAACCTGCCGCCCATCAACTCGGAGCCTGCGTAGAGCTGTGCCAGGCTCTGCCCTCTGCATGTTGCCGAAGCCCATTGGTCCTACCAAAAGTGCATGTTCCACATGCTTTTAAAAGAATACCCTCCCTGAAATACTTTTTACTTCTTAATTTAATTGCTAAGTTCTTAAAATTCATCCCAGAGAAGCATCTGGATTCATTTTGTACAGTCCCAGCCCGAGGTAACACTAAGCACCAGGCCATGCCCTGGTCCTGCTCTGTTGAGTCCCTTTTCAGTATTGAATGTACTTTGTATAATTTCAGTGGAAGAAGATACAATTTTTACAGTCAAAACTTGCTTTTTCCAAGCAATGAAATGCTTAATATATTATTATCATTCAATGAACTGGTCACTGTATAGTTCACGTATCTGTGTTGTACCTGTACATCTGTCACATTCTATGTTCATTTTTATACTGTGTACATGTTATATTTGTTATACTCAGGTTAATAAAGAAACTTGGACATTTAAAACAAGGGTCTCCTAGATGGGAAGGTCTGGGAACATGGTCAGCAGTACTGGGTGTTTGAGTGACCCTGACACGGGCTGTCCTGGTCCCTCAGCCACATATCCTGCACTCAGTGTTTCTGCTCCCTATGCCCTGGGATCACCCCCAGCCCCTCAACTGCAGCGTGCCAGGAGGGGATTTAGGGAAGGTGGAGGAGAAGGTGGGTGTCCCGGGGAGGGCAGCACCCCCTCACTGCCCCCCGCCAGCTCTCGGTGCCTGCCTGAGCCAAGGGCAGGGGGCTGGTGTGTGTGCACGCCCGGGTGTGCTTGGGACAACACAGGTGACCCCACAACAAACTGGCAAAGGGAGTTTCATGGTTCACTGCCACTTCAGCTCTAGGAATTTTTCCAAGTCTGAGCAACAAAAGCTCCCTGCTGCCTGGGAGAAGATGGGCAGGGTAATGAAATCCTGCTCTCCTTTGAGCTGCTCATCAGCAAAGTGCTATCTTCAGCAGTAATCGCTGCTTTCTTCTGTTGTTAACTAAAGGTCTTTTGAAGCTGGCAGGTGGAAAGTTAAATATACTGCAGGGATCACCAGCCTTACTCCAAACTCAAGTAGACTTGATGTCCCTTCTCCCTGTCGGTTAAAGAGCTTGTGGTGGGCGGTTAGTGTCTCAGTGTAAGGCCTGGAGCCCATGTGCACACACGTGTGCTGCCAGCCGTGCTCATTGCCACCAACCACCACTACTGAATGCGTGGTTGTCACTGCTGCCACCAAGTCACCAGCACGCAGGCTGCCCCCGCAGTCCCACAGCTCGGCCAAACACGGAGCCAAAGCTGCTGGCGGGGCCCCAGGTCAGCACCGAGCACGGCCCTGGGTCAGGCCCCATCTTCTGGGAGCGGTGGGACTGCTCCGGGAAATATTTGCCTTGCAAAGCCCCCTGGAAGGGAAAAAAACCCAACCAACACCACCCTTTTCCAAATGGGGAAGCAGCCTTTGAAGGGTGGCTCGTTTAAAAATAATGCTGTATATGGCTCAGCTTCCAGATCAAAGTCTGTGGCTCTGGAAAAAAAAAAAAAATTTCTTTCTTTCCATAAGAGAACCTCACATGCAGCTGCACTAGCTAGTAAGATCTTCTGCTAGTAGAGTGTTTGTGGGGGTTTGTCATTTTTTTTTTAACACCTCTCTGAAGCTTTAACAACCAGCACAGACAACAAGCAGTTTATGAAGCTGTCCCTGTGGAGGGGATGAAGCGTACACTACGTAGTCATGGCAAAGAGAGAACAGCCTTAAAGAAAAAAAAAAAAAAAAAAAAAAAATCTAAATCCACCACTGAATGACAGTTGCTGGAGCCAGCCGTTCTTCTCCAGCACCTTGGCCCTGGGGCAAGGTTACTGCCACAGCTGCCGTTTCCAGATCTGATGTATCCTCCATCCCTTGCACTCTTCACATCCCAGCATGTCTCTCAGGGCACTTAAGTAATTTAATGTCAGATGGCTTCTGACCCTAAGAAAGTAAATGGGACCAACGGATGGAGTGATGAACTGGGACAGCTCTGCAGTTTGTTCACATGGGCAAGGCCAGGAGAACAGCGGAGGTGACTCAGACTCAAAGGCTTGTGCAAGCTAAAGGCCTTCCCCAAGTACCCTATTCCTGCTCTTCTGAGAAGCAGCAGGGAGCTCTCACACCCATTTTTACTGAACTACATCGTCTCCTGACCTTGCATGGCCCAACAAACCACCAGCAACCCTCCTGGTCTCACCTGGACCCCGCCGTGGACCACCACCACCATGCCTGTCCACAACTGGCTGCTAAATCCCACTATACATTTCTGTCGAAGTCATTTTGATGGCAGTTGTGCAAAATACCACTCAGAAAAATGGCCCCAGCATGCTCACCACCAGGCCAGCCTGTTCTGACTCCATAGAGAGATTATCCATCTAGCTTAATGCCAGGAAAGGACACCTACATCTCACTCCAACTGCTCATGGCTCTTGCAAATGCAACTTTCAAGAAAAACTGGCAAATTTTTGTGCGCCACCGCCATTGCACTCTACAGCTAAGTATGATGAAGGTCATCAAAAGCAAAGCATTAAGGAGGCAGCAAGAGATCTAGCTATTTTCCACATGAAAGCACCGTAATTACCTTAGCTGGAGAAGAGGCAGGAGCAACTCTGGAGCAAACACAAGAGGTACCAGGCAGCCCAGAACAGGGGAGAAATTACAGTGTGTTTGTTAAGATGTGATTGTGGAACAGGGTTGTGCAAACAGAAAAGGTATTTGGCTAAGGATAGCTTCACTGTGAGCATAGCTCTCCTTGTTTCCATTGGGAAAGTTCCACGCTCAAGCTAAGACATGAATCCTACTAAAGGCCTTCAGGTTTCCTTGCTTTTATCCCAGCTGCTCTCTTACAAGTTGCTTAGCACCACATTTCGATAACGGCCCTTCGGTGCGCACAGATCAGCTGTTTTCTCAGAACTGCATATACTTCGGAGCGTAGTGCGTAGAGCAGGACTGCTGGGAGGGAGGCTGTCACAAAGACAGTTCCACCTCTGAGCGGTTGAGCTGAGCTGTTCCAACCCACTGACCTCCCACTTAGTACTGTTTGCACACAGAGGTGAAAAGCATGGGCCCTCGGCTTTCCCAGCCCGCTTCTCCCTCACGCCTGGCTCCCTGGTCCACAACACCCACAAACGCACCCATGGAAGGTTTCTTAAATCCAAAACAACTTCAAAAAACAAACCACTGACTGCCAAGGATGGCAGAGCTTTCCAGATTCTCCACAAAGAGGTTTGGTTGAACTGAGGAATCCCACCCACTCTGGAGTGGTGTTCTCCAGGACACTGCTGCAGAGAGGCTGAACGACTTGTCAAGCGCCAGGGCGGGAGCAGCGGCCTTTGAGCAGAACAGCCAACTGCAGCTCCTCCGCGCTCACTCAGAACGAGAGTTTTCCATCACCATCTCTGCGTTTGTAGGAGGCTGGCTTGCTCTTCTCCTGGATGGCGGTTTGAGGAAGGGGCTGGTTGGGTAGAGCACAAATTGCTTAATGGAACGGGAACAATTATGAATGGCACAAGCTGAGATAAAAAAAATGCATTCAGAATGTCTTTAATCATGTAACACTAAAACTTCTTTACAGTGTCATGGCAATCTACACTTCACCATCTGTTTGATTTTTGTTCTGCCCCCATTTCTCAAATACGGAATAAAAATGACATTTTAAAACAGAACACATGGTTGTTTCTACAAGACTTCACTGCTTCAAGTGAGTATTTTCTGCCTTTTAGTCTTGTATAAACTTCTTAGATTACCAGAATTCTTTCCTTCCGTAAGAATTTTAAAAGATAAAGCTCTCTCCTCCCTACCCTCAGACCTCCATTACATTATGAGGTGTGCCTTCTGGTTTAGGATGGCAGCCTTTCTTCCAGGCTCAGTATGCACCCCAGAAACAGAAAATCGGGGGGAAAAAAAGATTAAAAAAAAAGGATACAATGAGTTATTTTAGGAGTATCTGAGCATATTAAAGTTGAGAGGTTAGCTAGAAAGATTATATTTGGGGCAGAAGGATGCATCAGGCATCCCTCAGGACTTTGGAAGATACTTTGCACTACATGACACACGGAGGGATTTCGTTATGGACCATCAAAGAAACTGTTGCTACGAAAGACAGAAGAGACGATCTTTCCAGTGGAATTAATAGTGCCTTCGCTATCCGAGCTGGACTCGGAATCACTGCTCCCCGAGTAGGCGCCCAGGCCAGGCAGGATCCCAATGCACACGGCTGCTGAGGGACAGTGGACCGCCGAGCCTCCCACTGAGCTGCTCCCCAAGGGAACACAGGATGGTTTTTCTGAAAGAGAGGTACCTCAGTCAAAAACAAGAGCACAGGGCAGGGCTTTTAATCAGCCCAGGAACTGCTGCGTGTCGTTCACCTGCTATTGCCACATAAGCAGTGGATGATTGCAGGATTTAATTAAAGCGTAAGGCGGCTTTATGCTGCAATATAGCCATTCTGACAGGAAAAACTTGCTACCTCAGGGGATTTTTTTTTTTTTTTTTTTTTCTCATCACTAGTTTAAGCCCTATGCTGGCATTACAGATTTTTATTCTGAAGTTGTCAGTTTGATGCTTGTCAAGTACCAAACCCACTAAATAAGAATAAATAGCTCTGCTTTGTGTAATTGAATATTTTTTCAGATATAATGGCATAGTTGGGGAAAAGTTTCATTCCATCGTTCCGCTACTCAACATTTCCCGTCTTCCACAGCTAATTAATTATTTCCAGTGTTCTGGAAGTTTGCTGAACAGAAGGAGATTCAGGAGGCACCTTGGCTTGTCATTACACAATTGCAGCTCACCCTATTTGTGTCAGAGTATCTTGACAGCAAGTCAACTAACTGCAGCCCTGACAGCTAAGACTGAAATGCAACTTAATTTTTCCTCTAGTCTCCCATAATTTCCTGAAACAAATTGGTTTCGGGATGGACAAGATCACTTCATATCATGAAAAGCTGGTAGTGGATGTATACAAATACATCAAATGCTGCTGGGAAGAGGAAGGGGATGATCTGTTCTCCATGTCTTCTGTCGAGAGAACAAGCACTAGGCTCAAAATGCAGCTGGGGAGACCCCCATTAGTTATCAAGTAGAACTCTTTAAGGGTAAAATCTGTTAAGCTGCAGAATAAACTGCCTAAGGAAGGTGCACAATCTCTATCTGTGGAGATTTAAGAGCAGCTTAGACAATCATCTGTCAGGAATGGTTTAGGCAGGGGACAGACTGATGACCTGTAGATGTTCCCTCCAGCCCCATGAAGGCTGTCAGCACCTACAGTTACCATTTCTACTGCTTTTAGAGAGAACATGCCAACCGCAGTCTGTACTGTCTTGCATAATGAAAGAGCAGAAAAGCAAATCCTCTATCTGATTTAACACCAAGTCAGTTGCTGTTCAGGTGAGAGACAGATAGCTTCCCACATGCAGAAAACAGGACATACCTTGATTCTTTTCATCATGATCAGTATCT